ATGTATGTATACATGTACTGTTATTCTCACTCTTATTGAGACTGATTTCCGTATTCATTTAAATATAGTGTGTAGGAAGAGTATGTGATGTGCAGGTGACAGCTAACACGGATCCAAATACATCAACAAATAACCTGTCCTTCACTCAGATCCATAAACTAAAGTGCAGATTGCTATATGATCAATACATATATAATATATAAATATATAAAATACATGGGCAGTACACAAAAGAGAGACGCATGCAAATGTGTCCCATCTGATGAAATGCAACAATATCAATGAAGGCACATAAACAGTTTCTATGTGTACTTTGTCTTAATGGTGTCAATCATTATTGTATGTATGTTTTTGAAAATGCTGTGCACATTTCTAAATGCAGTCCCAGCATGTGTTCTTGTGATCTTCATCAGATCTTCTCACACATGTATTTCCTGCCCTGGTGCTCGATGTTGTCCTGTGATGGTTTGTGCTTTTCTTTCAGCACGAGTCGCTTTCTGATGCCCATTCTGACAGAGAACTTCCCCTTTGTACAGAAATCCTCCACGACACTGGTAAGAGACGGCTGAGTGATGCTTCACTTCAAACAGCTTCATACTCGTTGTGCAGCACTGCTCACATCGCTCAGACGAGCTGTAGAAGAGTTACTACCTGGTCACTGTACTTTGCCACAAAAGCTTCCTTTGTATTTATGAAGAAATGTTTTGTTGCTCTCACCTGATACCCATCATACACACATGTATATTGTCACATATTATGCGTCATGCACATTCTTACGTACTCCCCGGCTTCTATCTGAACACCTATCGGGCAGAATTGGACTCAAGAAAAAGTAGTGCCTGTGATCTGCACTGTTAAAGGAATGCTTCACCCTTAAAATGACCATCTGTATATCAGTTACTCATCATTTGTTTTTCTCTCATGCCTCCACAGGGAACAGAGAATCCAGAAGCAGTATAATCCAAGTGTCATGTATCCAGTCGTATGCTCACTACTTCCCAAACACGCACATCTCCACTAAAAGCTGAGTCTTTAACACACTTCAGCATTAGCACACTCACGCAGGTGATGTGTTTACATGTTTTAGTGAAGATGTGTGTGTGTTAGTGAAGTAGTGAGCATAGTCCTGGATAAATGGCACAGGGATTATACTGCATGAGTTGTGTGAGCGCTTGTAAACGGATGTTTTCATATAGTTTCATTGTTGTTAAACGCGGCGCCAGTTTACTTCAATTCATCAAGACTTTTCTGTATATATATATCTATCTGTCTGTCTATCTATCCATCTATCTATATATGTCTATCTATCTATATATGTCTATCTATCTATCTATCTATATATGTCTATCTATCTATATATGTCTATCTATCTATATATGTCTATCTATCTATATATGTCTATATATAAAAATCATTTTGTGGGTGAAGTTTTCCTCTAACTTAGTCATGTTCTGTTGGTTGATAGTTTGTTGCTCTCTACAGGAGTGTTACGTCCACAACCTCCTGAGGGTGACCATGTACATACCATCAATTCGGCGAGACGTGCTGGAGGTGATCGTCGGAAAGATGCTCAAACTGGATGTAAGTGGTTAAACTCCAAGTGATCCAAAGAGAGGTTGTACTTCACTGACTGTGGAAGGTCGATCAGGTGTTTCTGGAGTAGGAAACATGGTGGCACCATAATCTAGTAATTCAGCATTGAGGTTGTCACAGAGCTTTAGTGAATGTGTATTTGTAACATATGAGAAGGATATCATGTTCTCTCTCAGTAGCTACATTGATTTTTGCATTTTATTTCATCATGAATAAAGTCTAAAATGTCTCCTAGTTACATTGGGACACATAGAAAGTCCTGCTTTGTGTAAACGTGTGTGTGCGCTGTACTTCAGGTGAGTGCAGCCCGGTCCGACATTGAGGAAGCAGAGGAGAATGCAGTGCTGAACCAGCGGACTGAGGAAGGGCTCTTTGACATGGTAACACCCAGCACTGCTGCACATACTTCCTCTGGGTTTGGGGCAGATTTTTAGTTTTTCATGCTCAGTGTTCGGACTGGAGTATTTTGTCAACAGCACAGTATGTTAGTAGTTTATATATAAAGAATAGAAAACTGGTTGGCTTTGAGCATTACTCATCTGCTGCCCCGTCCACAGCAGTACGAGGCTTGAATGGTACTCTCAACTCTATCTACTGTAGTATTACACTGACTATGCAGAAGTACCTCATACAACCACCCATACTATTCCTTCAGGCTCATGTGTTCTCCATCTTTGTTGTTGTTGATTTGCCTCGTAATGTCTCATATGCGCCTTTGTTTTAATCAGTTGTCTTGCACAATAATAAACAAAAACATTGAAGTTTATATTTTGTTTAAGATAGTTTAAAATAGCCCATTTGTAACACAACACACACATACAAACAGTAGCACATTCCTGTAGAGCATTTTAAAAATTGGCATCATAAGGAATGTAAACAACAGCAACAATTCTCTGGACAGATAAGATGGCCTACATCTTCACATTAAATATCAATATGAGGAAAACATTGTTCATCAACTCTGACTGTGTTTGAGCACCAAGTGTTAGATTGTATGACTTATGAATGAATTATTGTAGCACGTACGCATTAAGGCCATCAAGAAAATAAATATAAATATATGACAACTGAATGTGAAGAAAAGTGACTGCACTATGTTGAAAGGGTTGTATTGTATTTGTATTACTTTGCTTTCTGAATTAGTTCAGAAAAAGAAAAAAAAATTTGTCTGTCTGTCTGTCAGGATGAGGACATGTCAGCAGATCACCCCTCCAGGGCGGCTGTGATGGCCCACCCGGTGGCTGATAGGCTGGACACTCTCATGGCTGTTCTGATGGCCTACATCAAGGACGTCTGCCATGTCGATGGTTTGTGAATAACGCAGCTTTTACACTGACAAGTGACAAAACTGACAGTGTTGAAACCACATGTCCCATGACAGGACTGACCAATAACGGACATGTCCCATGACAGGACTGACCAATAACGGACATGTCTCATGACAGGACTGACCAATAACGGACATGTCTCATGACAGGACTGACCAATAACGGACATGTCTCATGACAGGACTGACCAATAACAGACATGTCCCATGACAGGACTGACCAATAACGGACATGTCCCATGACAGGACTGACCAATAACAGACATGTCCCATGACAGGACTGACCAATAACAGACATGTCTCATGACAGGACTGACCAATAACGGACATGTCTCATGACAGGACTGACCAATAACGGACATGTCCCATGACAGGACTGACCAATAACAGACATGTCCCATGACAGGACTGACCAATAACAGACATGTTTCATGACAGGACTGACCAATAACAGTAAGGCTTAGGAAGGCTCTGACTGAGAGAAATATATTTGAAAGACTCTTACACAACACATTTTTTGGTGTACTGGTGAATATCTTCGGCTGTAAAGTGTGTCATCCTCATTCCTCTGTTTTCTCTCTCTCAGGCTCTCTTCATGTGGAAAGGACTAAGGATCTGTACAGAGATTTGTTGAGTGTGTTTGACAAGCTCATTCTGCCAACACATGCTTCCTGTCATGTCCAGTACACACTGTTCTACCTGTGCAGCTTCAGAGTGGTCAGTACTTCCCACACTGTGTATGAGGGTTGGTGTGACAATAGGAAAAAGCAGTATGTGGCATTTAGCCTTCAGTCTGGTCTTCAGCAGTGAGACACTGAAGACCAGTTGGACTGAGGTCAGGTGACTTGACAGACAGACACAGTCAGAGACTAGCAGGTGAACATAGTGGAGCATTTAGCATTTCAAAAGCAGAGCTAAAAGAGTGAGATCATTGGACTTCCATTCATCAGGTAAACACAAACACTCCAAATGAATGATAGTGATGTTCACCTTAACAGCTGTAGAAGAGTCGGCCAGCTTTGTGAACAAAGCACAGAGAAGCTGTGATAACAACACACACACTGCTCAGGTAGACATTACTCCTCTAAGTCCTAACTCACCCATGCTGCTTTTTCTGGGAACTTGAATGGATTTTTTATTTACAAGGTCTAATTATTTCATCTTCATCTTGAAGAATGTGCTCCTTGTGAGATGAGGCCTTCCTTGAGTTCTGCATGTGTTGTACTCTCTGTGTCCCAGGCTTTGGCCGAGGCCTTCTTGGATCACCTGTGGAAGATCCTGCAGAGTCCGTCTCAGCCCGCTGTCCTCCGCCAGGCTGCTGCCGGATACCTGGGGAGCTTCCTGGCCCGAGCCAAGTTCATCCCTGTGCTGTGAGTTCCTGCTGCTGAAGAGAACACAGATGTGTCTTAAAGCCAAAGTGAGCAGCTTATTCCTCTGTGACCATGTGTATCCTGCAGTTGTTCTAATCCAGTGTCCTCCTCTCCTCCTGCAGCACTGTACGGGCCTGTCTGGACCTGCTTCTCTCCTGGATCCATCGCTATATCGACAGCCAGGACAGCGGCGACAGACAGGCCTGCTGTGACATCAGCCTGCACGGACCCTTCTACACTGCCTGCCAGGCCGCCTTCTACACACTCATCTTCAGACACAGAGCCATGCTGGAGGGCAACATGAAGAAAGGTACACACCTCCAATCTTAAACAGGTCCACACCTGAACTCCTGAGTTTCACACTTCACTTCACTGTCGGTTCTTAAAATGTGTCGAACCACACAAAGCCCATCAGTGAATGAAGTTGGCTTTTAAAAGACAAGCTTACGATCCTTTAACAAAAACACAAGCTGCTGAAAACAGCACACCAGGGTTTAAGCTTTAGACATATTAGAGAGTTTCATGGTTTATAAGTGAACCGATTATACATTTTATTTATCAAATAGAGCAGCGCAAGAGAGTAGAACATACTATTTGTTGCTTACAGCTTGAAAACTGAAAGACTCAGGTGCTCTTTAGCTTCATTAATGTCACTAATTAAATGATAATCAACTTGTTAAAGATCTTTCAGTAAACCATTTAATTTAGTGTAATGTAAATATAACAGAAAGTCACTGAAACAGTCATGTGATGTTTTTAAATAGCCAACTTTTCCAACCAGGGAAAAGATGGCAGCATATCCCCATCAAATATTTATATTTTGTGACATGAATCCAGAGTGTGTGTTTGTGTTGGTCAGGTCTGGAGTACCTGCAGAGTCTGAACCTGGAGCGGGTGGTGATGTGTCAGCTGAACCCTCTCAAAGTCTGCCTGCCTTCAGTCACCAACATGTTCGCTGCCATCACCAGGTACACACTGACCTGTTGTCATTGAGATCACTGATGGGATGGTTGTCTTCTACTTAATGTTCTGAATCCTACATGCAGGGGTGGAAGAAGATAACACAAAGTAAAGCTCCGCTTTATCAGCAAAATGTACTTCAAGTCGTAGAAGTAGCTGTTTAGTATAAAATGTGTGACTGATAGATTATCACATATTTAATAATATTATGTTATCTGAGTAGATGTGATTAGATTGATTCTGATGAATCATTGGTGGAGCAGCATTCTACTGGTGGAGCTGCGCGAGGTAGAGCTAGTTTGAACTACTTTAGAAACAATGGTTCCCATACTGTTGGGCCCTCCAGTTTAGCTTTATCTTTACTTCTATTGTATGTGAACTATTGAAGTTTTGACTTTTGGGCCTCAAACAGTTATTTAAATACAAAAATTGTGAGAAATCTCAAGGGGAAAACAAGCCCAAAAGTTTTGTAACCACTGGTTAAATAATGTGCAGCATCCAACCACCTACAAACAACTACCGTTGTCCTTGATGGGGCCAACAGAACCGTGAGCGGCTCCACACCAGCGGAGCGAGGCCGGCTGCACTGAGAACTCTAAGAGGCTGGTTGATCACCTCGAGGGAGGGAGCAGAGCCTCGCAGAGGCACCAACAAGTGTGCAAGGAAACTATTCACTGTTTGTCGGCAACAACATTAGTTGCAGCTGTTATCTCATTGGTTGCATTTTAAACGGTCAGTGAGTACCAAGGTCAGAGTTTGTGGGATTGATTCGGAATTCCCAGTTGAGCGTGTGATACAGAGAAGGTCGTGCAGTGTGAACTTAATAACAGGCATCAGTTCACACAGTACAGGAGAGTTGACTGAGACGTGCTGTTGAAGGTTTCCCTGTCTGGTCTCATTCACAGCAGCTGCTGTTTTTTGTTGCAGGACGTATCAGGTGGTGTTCTGCTACACCATCATAGAGAGGAACAACCGCCACGTGCTGCCGGTGGTCCGCCGCTCTGCAGGAGGAGACAGTGTGACCACCAACACCAACCCTCTGGACAGCTTCTTCCCCTTCGACCCCTACCTGCTCAAGAGGTACACTGGCTGATTATGCTCTCTAATGACATCCTCTGACCCAATTTTTACTTCTCACAGCAATTTTTGGGAGTCAGGACTTGTGACTGTGTTCTGTGAAGTGGAGCTACATTATATTTGAATGGTCTCAGTGGTCTGAAGAACAGACCCTACTCTCACCGTACTCTTTAAAGAATTACGAATGAATTGGAAACTGCTGAATGTTTTTTTTGTTTCCATAAACACTTAAGAGTTCCATGATACCTGGACCATGTGGTGAGACTGTTTTGTCACTAACTTATGAAAGGTTCAGAGATGAAAGCCTACTTCCTAGAAGACGGTGTGTCCTGTAGGAAACAGGACGAGGTGGACCCCATGTTTGGTGATTGTGTGCAATTAATTGAAGAAGCTACTATGTCTGGACAAGAAAACTTAAACGGCAACTGAACAAGCTCAATAAACCTGATCTCAAAGGGTGTGTGTGTGCGCAGGTCTGTTCAGCTGATTGAGCCACTGTACCAGGTGTGGGAGGAGCTAGCAGACACAGAGCTGCTTCCCTCCAAAACAGGACAACAGGTGAGAGGACAGAAGGGTGAGCAATGTTCACTATTGCACTGCCATAGCATTAGGAGACTCAACTACTACTACTTATTATTGATTGTTTTCTTCTTTAATCATCGTGTCTATAAAATGTCAGAAAATAGTAAAACCCTCTCACAGTTCCACAGAGCCCATAATGAGTTATTCAGATGTCTTGATTTGTTCGATTGACAGTTCAAATCCCAAAGACATTACTCAGTTAACCGAGGACATAAAGTGAAGGAGCAGAGTGGAGAAGCTAAGGTGAGGGCTGGCAGGTCATTCTTGGTCAGATTACAGCGAGTGTAAGTCAGTTTAGTGTCTTCTTATTCACATCCCCGACAACGGTGAAGCAACGTCCTCGTCTTCAACACAACTCTCGCTCCATTGCTGACGGGGACCAGCAGGCGGTGTCTTCCAGCTGATGTTATTTGTGCTCACATTCTTCTCATATGGGATATTATGAGAACGTGATTGTTCTAATGTTACTCTGTGTTTAGCAGAAAAGAGAAATATGAACTACAGGAGCTCAGGAGAGTGGTGGCCGTTCCATACCGTAATTAGCCAATTAGTGGGCGACTGTGGCTAAGTGGATAGCAGGGCCGTCCTTCAATCAGGATCGGCGCTTCGACTCCCTGGCTCCGCTAGTCGCATGTCGATGTGTCCTTGAGCAAGACACTTAACCCCAACAATTGCTCCCGTAGCTGTGCCTACGGTGTAGAAATGTGATAGAATCTGAATTGTAAGTCGCTTTGGATAAAAGCGTCTGCTAAATGTAATGTAAAAGTGGAAATGGATTTTCTTTTTTAAACACTGTACAGTGTTTTGTACAGAGAGTTTTATGGACGTCAGTAAACAAAGAAAATGGACATTCTGGACTGTGTATGATTTTGGGACCCTTGACTTTTGCAACGAGCATAAACTGCAGACTCGGCTGAATCAACAACTCTGACCTGGAATCAGATGACAGGCAGCAAAATGTGGAGCGGTTGGACTTCTACTGTTGAAGGGTTTGTAAAGCCCTATGAGACTGATTTGTGATGTTGGCTGATACAAATCACACAATCACAGAATGAGACCAGCTAAAGATGTAGCTGAGGTGCAACACACGGCTGGAGGGACCTGTTCATAAAGATCAGGGCGTGGCCTCACACCGGCCGGCTGTGACTGAGCAGCTTCACGAAGCTCATGCAGGCTGTCAAGAATGAAAGCATTGGCCCATAGCTGTGTGTGGTGGCCAAACGTGGATGCAGATTTATATGTAATGTATGTCAGTCCTCTTCAGCAACAGCACCACTACATCTGTGGGAATGGCCAAACCAACCATGGATATAGTGGGCCAGTATTGGGAAAGATGTTTCTAATTGTCATTGACGCCCTCTCAGAGTGGGTTGAGGGGCACCGGTGCAGCCTATAAAGTCGTCCATGACAGTGGAGAACCTGAGAGGCAGCGGTCCTCGTCAGTGATACTGGTCCCAGCATGGTCAGTGCAGAGTTGAACCTGAAAAAGAAAAGCATAAAGCCTTCGACAACAGCACCACACCAGCTGTCCTCAAACGGCTGAGAGTCTCGTGTGTGCGTTCAAGGAGGGAATCAAGAAGATGAGGGAAGGCAGCCAAAGGATCTGATGTGTCCTTCACTAGCTGGCAAGGTTGGAAAGAAGCAAGTCAGACGAAAAGAGCAACACGGGGAGCATGTCAGAGACCGGCTGTTCACAGAGTCCCACTCAGTCTATGTGGGAGGGTACTCCGGCAACACTCATCAAGAGGACAGGTCCAGGATCTTGGAGAGCAAAAACGTAGGACGGCAGCAGAATGCGAGTAGTCCACATCATGACCAGTAATGGACTGAATCCAGTCTCAGCTTTCCTGCAGGGGCAGAGTAATCCCCTAAATCTGTGTGCACGGTCATTTTCAGTTAGGCCGTGAACTGATCTTCTTTGGACATCGATATAAATTAACTAACATTATGGACTGTGTATGATCTTGGGAACCTTTGACTTTATTACAGTCCTAAAGCATACATTTGAATTAATTGATGAAGTCGATATTGCTCAGCACCAGCGATTAATTCATTATCAAAATAGTTGTTGATTTAATTCTATCAATTAATGGACAAATCGTTTCGTCTCTTAAAATAATCATCAGTATGAAATGGAATTATCCTAGCTTTTAGTCTATAATGTAGCCTGGTAATGGAAAAACCCATAATGCAACTGCTATCATTAAACATCATTAAATGCAACTGCTATCATTAAACAACAGACTCCCCGTGACATCCGCATGGAGGATTGGTGTAAAGCTGTTTGAGTGTCGCTTTAAGTCCCCTGTCTCTGTGATAACATGTGATCATAGAAGGGAAATACATGGAAATGTGAAATGTATATGCATGAGGTCAAAAAATGTGAAGATTGGTCTTGCTGTATCGGGTTGTGTGCTCCTTAACATGGATTAGGACTGTTTTCAGATTGTCAGGCTCACGGTCACTTGAACTGAGGTTGTGTTGGTTCTTTGTGTGTCTGTCAGGGCTCGAGGGAGGACGAGGACGACTTCCTGTGTGGGGAGACGCCCCAGACCGAGGGCATTGTGGGGATGACACCGAGCTCCTACGACTCGAGCCTCCACAGCCCCAGCTGTGTGGGGTCACCCCCCCTCACCTTCCAGAGACCCTTATAATGCACATGACATTTCATTTATTAAGACTGAAACACAAACTGAACACATGAGCCGGTCACACTTGGAGAGACGTGACAAGAACACTCCTCTGTGGTAATGAAAACACAAGTTCAGAGTTAGATTTTCCGGGGAGCTGTGGGTCTACACAGTTCACAAAGAGCTGCTGTGGCAGCCTGTCGTCCCTTTACAGCCTCTAACAACACAAAGCACAAGCTGTGGCAGCTTGTCGTTGGATGGATTTAAAGGGTCTCCAGTCTGTCTTAAAGGGCCAGTGTGTAGCAGAGGGGATCGATTGGCAGAAATGGAATATAATTGTACGTTCGTGGACAACCTGGAACAGTCATGGAATTTGAAAATATCAAAATGCAGACTTACACAAGTTTTGGAAAAAAATAAAGGTTTTTTATTTATTGGTAACAATGTGTATGAACCCTGTTATTACTTTTTCATCAGTATATTCCCTGGGGTTCTATGCAGCAGCTTTTCGCCTGCCTGTGCACATCTAACATTTTCTGAGCTGATGCAGATGGCGGATAAAGAGTGTTGGTTCGTCGTGAGGAGAATCCTGCACGCAGTATAAAGATCCAAAAGTTTCCTCGTCACGATTCCACGTCAGCTCATGTCCGTGCGACCGTCCTTGGGGAAAGTATAACTGAGGCTTTAGAACGAGTCCTTATCTGCACAGGGCCTGACATGTTGCACCACCATGTTTCTACTGTAGCCCAGAATGGACGAACCAAACTCTGGCTTTAGAGAGACCTGCTGTTACGATACCCGAAGGCCACCGTAGTTCTCTACACACTTGGTAAGGGAGAATGAGAAGAGGGGTGTGTAGTTGCAATCTGCACCCTCACCACTAGATCCTACACACTGCTCCTTTAAAACAATACTCCCATGCCCATACCTACACTGGAAGAATAGTTGGTACTTTACTTAAAGTGGCAACAGCCTGGTTTTTAACTTCTCATGAAGTAAATGTTGATTGCATAATGTCTATAGAATGACACACTCAGCGTTAAGATTGGTTCCCTATGAACTGCTTTCACTCTGCACGGCTGTCTGCCATCGATCTCCAGGGAAAAGGAAGTGTGTCAACCTTTGTGCAACCAGAACAGTAAGAGCAAAGTGCTTTTATTTCCCCGGTAGTATTGATGTAAATTCTATGCAGCTACTGTCCCCAGTAGTGGAAGAACCGTTGATGTTGGTAGTTGCATTGGAATAGTTTAAGAAGAGTTGTCTATGCAGGTGAAAGTTATTCCTGAAGTCATGGAGTATTCTCTAATTCTAACTGTTTTTAGTTGTGCTATTGTATTAGTTTATTATGGTTTACTTATCTGTTCTCTACATGGATGTTGTGGTCAGATTGAGATTTCTGTAGATTCCAGTTTATTCAGGTTTCCTTTCTCCACCATAACCTCATGTATTCACCTTCTGTACTTTCTAAAGTCCTGCTCTTCTGTTTGATATAAACTACACCCGTGTCTGGGACGGAATGCATTACATCTGCACCCGAAACACTCACGCTGCACCGTCAGTCTTGTAGTCTTTAGTTTCTTCAGTGGGAAACTCTCAGCTGTTTCACAGCTCATGTTTCTTATTTCAAGTCCCTTCCTCTCATTTGATCAAATCGTCACCTCGGGTTCAACAGTGTTGGTGTCAATAAAATGTTAGGAGACTGGAATAAACACAACATCAGATCCAGTCAGCAGTTAGTCCTTTAATATAAAACAGTAACAGAAAGATATGAGGCCACACCAAAGATGCAATGTTGTTGAAACACAGGACATGTCAGTATCTTTCAAAGCTGTCCGTATAAATCAAATGAATGTTCCACTAAGACTGATGTCTGCCTCGACTCTGTGACTACCAAACACAGGTTTACACAGCAGGAGCTACAGCAACATGACAGCCACTCCTGGATGCAGGAGACGCAACATGAACCATGCAGTATGAAGCCACAGAAGTCCAGTCTCTCTGAACACGTCGTTCTCTGCCTGCTGTTAGGGGATAAGGGCACGGGAAGAGTTATGGAGATGGACAAAGGGACACCGTTGGTTTGTTTCTACTTTTTGCTCAACAGTTCATAACTCCTGTGGCAGATGGCAGCGAGTTATTATGACACAGAGGAAGACTCTTTGAACAGACCCGCCTTGGATTGTCCTTTACAAGCTAACAGGTCCTCCTATACATGCAACCCATGGAGTGTGTGTGTGGCTGGAAGGGGGGATAGAAAAGTGGTCAGAGAGGAGTATTAACAAGGTTGACAGCAGCATGTGTGTGTGTTGTGGACTTGGTCATGCAGCTCCTCAAACACCACCTGCTGTCAGAGGTACACAAAAGAGAATTCCAGTGTGCACGTGTTATCGGCAAACGACGAGTCCTTGGGTCACGCCCCACTGCTGAACCCTCCGCTTCAAAAGGAAGACACTCATTTGATGTGTGTGAGCAAGCTTTGGCATTAAAACACCGGCCAGGTTGTGTTCAATCAACCGTTCACTGTGAACGGAGGATTTGAATTTGTCAAAGTGATGTCATTATTTTGAGAAGATTATCGGATGGCGTCCAGTCTGTAGACCACGGTGTAGTCCGTTGGGGTTCAGCTCGTTCAGCCTCTCAGCCTGCCCAGGTCCTCTCACAGTCCGCTGGCTCCGCTCACATATGATGAAGGTTGACGTCTGGGACTGATGCTGCCTCCAACACACTCACTGACACTGCAGGTCGATCACAGGTGGACAGAAAACGTCTGTCATTACGGACAGTAACAATCATCATCATGTAACTTTGCATCATATAAAAACAAAGAGAACAACCAGCTGGAACAAGGACATTCAGGTAGTAGAGGAATACTTCACCCTTACAATGACCGTCTGTATATCAGTTCATCATGTCACCTTGAATTCTCATGCCTCCATGGGGAACACAGATTAAAAACAGAGTAAATCTTTGAGAAATTGAACATATTCCTGGATAAGTGAGACTTGGATTATACTGCATGAGTTGTGTGTGTTTGTAAATGGATGTTTTCATATACTTTTGTTGTTCTTAAAATGCAGCCCTAATTGACTCTGTTTTTTGATTCTCTGTGCACCATGGAGGCATGAGAGAAGAACAGGAATTAAAGGTCACACTTTTGTAGTCAAAGTGCAGGTATGTTTATGATTGTGATGAATGTTCATTTATTGAGCTAAGCGCTGCCCTTCTTTCACAACACACACCTCCTTTCAGGCTCATCACCTACATGCCCCACTCTGACTTGGTTTTGCCATTTTGTCCTGAGAGTAATATCAACTAGTTCTTCCATCAGTCCAACACGTTGATCCAGATCAGTGTGGGTATTCATGGTCCCAGGTGGATGGATCAATCAGCACCCAGTTTCTCTCAGCAGCCAATCAGGACAAATCTTTCACTTTTACCCACAAAAGTCAACAGACTGCTATGAAATTAGCTGAGGATAAAACATTTTAAGATGATAATTTCAATATTAGTAATGGAAATGTAGAATAAATTCAATAAATAACAGAAAAGGTATCAGCATGTTGCTTGTTCCATCAGTCCCTTTATCAGTGGGGATGTGACGAACATTTCTATTGTGCTCAACCGACAGACAGACACATGTCATCAATAACGTTATTAATGACATCTGTGCTTCCCCTGCTCTGATTCACTGGGAAACAACAAATAAACAAGAGTGCTCTGATGCTGCACTGCTAGCATGCTATCAGGTTAGCTTCGTATTTATTCAGCATGGAGCATGACAGAAAAGGTTTGGACCCAACCATCTTTATATACAAATACAATGATTCAAACCATGAGTTGATTATCAGATTTGGTTGCAAATGATCTTATTGACTAATCTACACATTTGTTCCTCTTCTGGAACATCGGACACTGAGAACAATAATATAATGTAGAATATTACTTTTCTATTTATTTGACGAAATGTACTTACTTTGTTGTTATTCTATTAGGCACAGGTGTTACTATTCCTTCTTACACACTTTATATTTATTACTCTTGTGTGTGTTTTTGATTAATCTCTGGCATAAGAACGTCCTACAGGATTGATGAATAAATGAATCTGCTCAGAGTGTTGTAGCTTAGTGCTCTCCTCTCTGAACTCTGTACCTTTGTCATCGGCAGTGGGGGAGCAGACTTCCGCCACCAGCTCTTTGGCCTCCACAGCCAGTTGGAAGGCGGGATCGGGGCTGTCGGTGGCTGGAGATGACCTGTTGCTCCTGACATACAGAACACACACACACACACACACAGGAGAGGACTGGTTACAGCACGACTCTAACTGATCAACTGATACTGTGATGTTCGGAGTCTCTTACCCGCCTTCCCCTACAAACAGGCTGGGTGTCGTCAGCACTTTGTGGACGTTCTGCGGACAGACAGAACGTAAGAGTTATGTGACGTTCTGTGATGATCTTGTTTTCTCAGTAACATTGATCCAGTACAGACATCAGGTCTTCATGTGACACCAAAACAAGGACCTCAAGGTCACAAAGAGAGAGCCGGTGATGAGGTGTTTTCAGAGGGAGCTGAAGCCCTGAATGAGAGGCAGATTGGACTCTTGTAAACCTGATCTGGAGACCAGAGTCGACAATTTACTGTGAGGTTAGGAGGAAAACCTTATCGAATGTATTCTCTCACTTCATGTCCATCTGCTGTTGCTCCTCACGCTCCTGTGTATTGTTCATTTCACATTCCCCGACTACCACCATCACTGAGGGGACACAGTGCGAGTCCACTCGTGTAACATGATGTCGTCCATAGCAACAATGTCAACCGTCTCCTCGCTCAGCAGTCCCCACAGCTCCTGACAAACAGCTCCAACACTTTGTTGCATTTCTCAGATCAGAACTGACATTTTCAAAACTACTTCAACCTCCATCATGTAGTCACATCATTGAATCAAATGCAAATGCTTTGACACCATCATTCAAATGATTATGTTCAAGTGTCTGCTGTTACCTCCATGAATTGCTTATGGCTTAAATGTATTATACAGGTTGAATAGTGTAACACCACCGTCTCATCCTTTTCTGTTCTGCATCACATGACATGTCCGTCAACAAATGACAAACGATGTGAAGCCTGTCCACATACAGTGGTGGAACTTTGTACTGCATTTACCATCATTATCATCATCAAAACCTCCAAATACTAAGAGCAGCTATTCTCAGCCACTCGTGGGCATCAGATGCCAAATGGTTGGATTACATTAGGAACATGTATATATTTTTAGTAATTTACAAAGCTCTTGTGTTTTTTTCTCATTTATTTGGGAAGGTGGTCCTCTGGACTTTTGTAACAATCAGGAATGGTTCTTAAGTTACAAAACTTACAGTTGACTGCATTGAAAGCACGGCTGAGCTTTCTTGCTTGTAAACGACGACACTTTCACAATGACAGGTTCTGTTTGTGCGACTTGTTCTGAGGAATGCACCTACTGTAATCTCGACACTTTGTTCTTGTGCTAATTAAGATATGAAAGCTTCCCCAAATGACAAAAGTGGACTCTCAGAGAGAAGGTTGAGGGAGGTAAGACAAGCTGTCTGCTTTCTGAACTGCAGTGTGTCTCCCGGCCACCAGGGGGCAGACTGGCTCCACGACAGTTTAGTGGACTGGCAGCACATGTTTGGAACCGTCATGGTATCTCTAATTGGCTTGGTGTGCCGAATGTTGAATCCAGTGTGTGAGACTGCATGGATTACGAGATGAGACACAACACATGCTGATTGTCATGGAGTCAGTCTATCAGTCCAGTGGTTCTCAACCTCATGGAACTTAAGACCCACTTCTAATCTTTACATTTCTTTTAAATTAAGCCTTTTAATTTGACGGTTTTTATTCTCTCTTGAGAACAATTTGATTTGTGTGAATATAATCCATTTCATCTTATTTCCATACATGTATATTATATGAACCTTGTTAACACCTGATTTTGACATCCAGATGTAGTCACATGTATCCTTCCACTAACCTCATCAAGTCCATCACTGTCAGCTCGATCTGGGCCGTTCCAATACATTTACAGTCGGATGATTTCACCCAAACATTTCAGGGAATAAGAGGAAACAACCTTTTGTTTTCTGGAGATAACGATATAATAATTTGTGTTTGTGTTGTTCTATGTTTGTCTTTCTTTCAACACATCCCATAAAAAGACCCAAACCAGATGTGTTCTCACTTCCTACTCTATCTGTGGTTCTTATCGCCAAGCCCAATTAAAGCAGCTGGACACTGTAGGTGTCAGCACACATGAGGAGCGAGTGAACAGATGTGAGGGCGTCCAGTTAAAGTTGTACCTGTGCGAAGCCCAGCAGTTTCCTGTTGTTGATCTCCAGGTGTTTCCTGCTCAGCTCGGACTTCTTCAGCTGGCAGTCGATAGTTGTCAGCCTCTTGTTCAGATCCAGCACGTCCTCCTGATGAACACAATCAATAAACACAGTAACAGCAGCTTCCACTTCATCTGGAGGGAGCTCATTATTCTCTCACCATCCTGTAAAAAACATGTATCTCCAAAATGTCAAACTGCCCTGTTCACAGATCTGTGACGTTAATCCTTAAGAATCTAAAAAATATAAAAAATTTCAAATATTTTATGGGCAGCACCAACATAACTTAAGTAATAAATCAACTCGCTGCAGTTCTGTAAGTACAATATTCAAACCCTTTGAAAGTTTCCTTCAGTCAAGTTGTACAGTACTTTACTTCTGCATGAACCTATGTGGAGGTTTGGTTGAGATGAGACCAATGTCATATGACCGATGCAGGCATCACTTTTTGAAATTGATATAAATCAACCAATGTGTGTTTCTTTTCATTTGCAACACCATTAGTCCAGTTTCCATCCAAATCTGGCATCATTTTCACTGAAACTACATCCTCTGTTACTGGATGCAGGCTGTGTGTGCAGCGGCAGGATTTACTACCTGAGATGAAAAGCCACAGGTAGTGAGGCAGTAATCCTGAGAGCCAGAGGAAATGAATATACAGCCTTTCTTTCATCAAAGCTGAGAGAAAACAGAGCTAGAGAGGCAGCCGGTGATGCAGGTGCTCAAAGTGATGCCATCCTACAGAAACAGATTCTACACATGAACGTAGAATGAATGATGAAGTGACCTAAAGTTGTGCATTAATGGGTTAAGACACTGAGCTGTGATTGGTCAGCTTGTGTTTCTCTGATGCTGCAGATTATTGAAGTGAAGACAACATGAAGGACGTTAAAGAGAAACCAATCTGCTGCTTTACAGTAACACACAGCTATGACAAAGAGCATGGCTTGTTTTATTTATTGGATTATAAGAACAGCAGTGGGACAAGTCCACCAACACACCTACTCAATAAAGATATTTTGATTTGATCAAAAAGCAAAACGAGAATGTTTCCTAGTATCAGGTGTCATTATGCAGATACAGATGCAGGTTAATATCAGATGGGAATTGTGTGTTTTTGCAATCATTGGACTTACATCCTGAGTAAAAGTAGTCATCCCACATGGTAACATGTCCAGTGTCATTTTACTTAAAGGATAACTTTGGTATTTTAACCTGAGCGTTATATTAGCACGTTTTTATGTCCGTGACTAAAGAGGACAGCAAATCCTGAAGTTGGTCCAGTATTGATGGAGAACACTACAGACGGCTGCATTGTAATCGCTCGAGGTAACTCCTCACTAAAAGTGCTTGCTTTGCCACTAACAGAGTGTTATTACATCATTATGGAGGAGTCTGAAATCTGGCGAGGTGACGTGTTGCCGGATGATAAATGTTGGAGACATGAGTGCTGGCCGGGAAGAGTTTGTTGTGATGGAGTACAGAACACGTAGCTTAGTGTTATCTAAAACATTTTCAATCTGGTGGCTGAATATTTAGATGAGTTAAACATTGTGGATGAGCTCCGCCCCAATCTACAAAGTAACTAATGACTGAAGCACAAATAAATGTTGTGGAGTAAAAACAACAATATTTCCTGCTGAAATGTAAAAAGTAATATGAATATGAAATGCTTGGGACTGACCTTTGTGGACTCCAGTCCTCTTGCCTGCCTCTTGCTGGCCAGCTGGTTCTTCAGGTCTTTGATCTCCGCCTCCAGCAGCTGGATGACCTCCTCGTAGTCCTGCTCCGCACTGCTGGCCTGCCGCTGGCCGGTCTCGGTCTGTGCTGCCTGCAGACGAGTCTTCAGACGGGTGTTCTCCTCCACAGTCAAACAGGCTTTCTGGGAAGGACAACAGAATGTTTTCTTGTAAATGTATTCATATGTGGCTACGTGTTGTATGTAACATAATTCAGACTCGTTATTATTATTATTATTATTATTATTAGCATTAGCTGACTTTTGAATTTTTTCTTTGTGAACAAACATCTAAACTGATGTAGAGTAACCTCTCACCTCTGAGGTCTTCTGCAGCTCCTCCTCCAGGCTCTTCTTGCTGTGCTCCGTGTCCTTCAGCATCAACTGCCAAGAGAGGCAGCAGATGCAGCCCAGGAGGTTTTTAAAGCCGTACTCATCACCTCTGTGGCTCAGTGACACCTCACCACATAACACAGAAAACTATTCTCTCTGCCCTCATGCATGTCATTGCATTTGGTTGTGAAGGACTTTTTTTTTATTTTGCAGGGAGTGATGGACTGAAATAGATGACAGTGTTAATGTTCCAACATGCAGCTCAGTTTAAAGCTGTTTGCTGGTTGTGCAGAAAGACTAAAAGTCAGACTCTGCATGCTCCTGGCTAGGTGGTGTAACTGCAAAGATCCTCCAACATTCAGCGCTCTTTCCAGTCTTTTTCTTTGTAAAAGATGCACCAAGAGAATCTTTGACGACTAGTTGAGTAAATTACAACTGTTTGATATAGCAGTGGCAGGACACAGAAGAGTTATCCATCCACAAACACTTTGTGTGTGTGTGTGTGTGTTCACCTTGAGCTGCTTCATCTGGGTTTGCAGCTGCTTCACCTCTGTTTGAAACTGCTCCATCTCCTCACTGCTGTAGCTGCATTCTGATTCATATGTCTGCACACACACACACACACACACACACACACACACACACACACACACAGTATTTTACAGGTTGTGCTGTTGGTCATCTTTGCAATACATTCTGTGTAAGAGTGCTGGCATGCGAGGGCTGCTTACAGGGGAGTGGAAGGCAGACGTGTCCATCAAACTAGCTGCTTCGTGATAGGAAAACATAAAGGGACCCGCCCCTAAACCCAGCTCCTCCAGGTTCTCCTGGAAAACGTTCCGGGTGGCCTCCACGAAGTCTGAGAGTTGACAGACAAGCACAGACAGAAAATGCTACTGACTCACAGAAAGAAGTGTGCTTGGGCCTATATGTTTCTGAACTTAAAGGTTCTCTGTACGACGCTCAGAGCATTAATGTATCATCAGCATGTTGAGAGCCATTGAGAGGCCATATAAATGCTCCCCATCTCATTTTTGTCTCCTTTGAACTAGATTACCGTTACTTCCTGTTTCAGACATTACAGGACTATTACAGGATAAACATGCACATTTCAATATATTCACCAAAAAAATTCAAAGTGACATTTAAGAATGATATTTGTGGGAAGCCCGAATTTGCATACAAATCAGACTGCCGTGTTTTAGTGCAGGAGACAAGATTTTGATTGTGTAGTTAGAATGAAATATGAATATATAGATAGAAAAAAAACATGGACGCTCAGTAGGCTGGGACTTGTATTGAAGCAGGTGGCTTTCCTAAAATGCATGCCCTGCTTCCCTGTCGGTAAATGAATCTGTATTAATGCAAAAGGATTGATATTGGATGCGGCACCACAGGTGGAAAAATGGTGGATGAAAGTGAGGCTGCTTGTTGACAAATGTTAGCTTGTTAATCAAGTGAGGCAGCAGAGGCACTGTGAATGAGCAGTACGTTCTGTAACAGAGTTTATGGTTAGACTATGGGGGCTGCACACAGTACATGCCATACCTGCATATATACATACAGGTGGTATGGAAGAAACAACAGCTGAGAAGTGATTGCAGCCCTAAAGAAATACAATCCTAACCCAAGTTTGTTGTACCTATATGTGTTTATGATCATATGTCACTTCAACATACAGTGGGGCAAAAAAGTATTTAGCCAGCCACCAATTGTGCAAGTTCTCCCACTTAAAAAGATGAGAGAGGCCTGTAATTTTCATCATAGGTATACCTCAACTATGAGAGACAAAATGAGAAAAAAAAAAAAATCTAGAAAATCACATTGTCTGATTTTTAAAGAATTTATTTGCAAATTATTGTCTGAAAATAAGTATTTGGTCAATAACAAAAGTTCATCTCAAAGCATGATGTTTCCACCCCCATGCTTCACAGTAGGTATGGTGTTCTTTGGATGCAACTCGGCATTCTTTCTCCTCCAAACACGACGAGTTGAGTTTTTACCAAAAAGTTCTATTTTGGTTTCATCTGACCATATGACATTCTCCCAATCCTCTTCTGGATCATCCAAATGCTCTCTAGCAAACTTCAGACGGGCCTGGACATGTACTGGCTTAAGCAGGGGGACACGTCTGGCACTGCAGGATTTGAGTCCCTGGCAGCGTAGTGTGTTACTGATGGTAGCCTTTGTTACTTTGGTCCCAGCTCTCTGCAGGTCATTCACTAGGTCCCCCCGTGTGGTTCTGGGATTTTTGTTCACCGTTCTTGTGATCATTTTGACCCCACGGGGTGAGATCTTGCGTGGAGCCCCAGATCGAGGGAGACTATCAGTGGTCTTGTATGTCTTCCATTTTCTAATAATTGCTCCCACAGTTGATTTCTTCACACCAAGCTGCTTACCTATTGCAGATTCAGTCTTCCCAGCCTGGTGCAGGTCTACAATTTTGTTTCTGGTGTCCTTTGACAGCTCTTTGGTCTTGGCCATAGTGGAGTTTGGAGTGTGACTGTTTGAGGTTGTGGACAGGTGTCTTTTATACTGATAACGAGTTCAAACAGGTGCCATTAATACAGGTAACGAGTGGAGGACAGAGGAGCCTCTTAAAGAAGAAGTTACAGGTCTGTGAGAGCCAGAAATCTTGCTTGTTTGTAGGTGACCAAATACTTATTTTACCGAGGAATTTACCAATTAATTCATTAAAAATCCTACAATGTGATTTCCTGGATTCTTTCCCCCCCCATTCTGTCTCTCATAGTTGAAGTGTACCTATGATGGAAATTACAGGCATCTCTCATCTTTTTAAGTGGGAGAACTTGCACAATTGGTGGCTGACTAAATACTTTTTTGCCCCACTGTATATGATAACACACAATTGAAGATGTATTTTATGACCCTTTAATTAGTAAATAGAATTAGTATTAATAATAAACAAATATCATTGCATTATATCCATGCTATAGAAATGTGTGCTTGGCTACTAACAGACACCGAGCTGCTTCATGGTTCCAGAACGTGACATCACACCCAAGTGATCCAACCAGTAAGTGACATGCAGCCGTCACACGCAGCCTGTGATTTGACGGGATTTCATCACAGATATTTCACCTTGCTGTTGACTAAACTGTAAGTGTGTGTGTGTGTGTGTGTGTGTGCTTCACCTCCATAGGCCACAGTGCCTTGTGGGTCTGTGGTCAGACTCTGTCTCAACTTCTTCCTCTTCTCTTCTGTGACATCCAACCCGAGGAAGGACAAAGCCTGAGCGACAGACATGAACAGAGATAGAAATCATTTTAGCAGGCTGCCATTGCAACATCACTTAGGAAGAAGAAAAATGCACTGTTATCAAACTCTAACAATTACATATCTATTAAATAGTCTTGGTCTCAGGTTGTTTCACTAAAGATGTACACATACAAGGTTAGGGTTTGTCTTCTGAAGGTTGTTGATATACAGGGACATGAGTTAGAATAATCCCTCCTCTGTTGCTCTCCCTCAGGTCTCTCCCTCTTTTCTCCCCGTTAAAGGGTTTTGGGGGAGTTCTTCCTGTTCTGATGTGAGGGTCCTGGGACAGAGGATGTCGTATGTGTACAGATTGTAAAGCCCTCTGAGAGATTTGTGATTTGTGATTTTGGGCTGTACAAAATAAATTTAATTAAATTGAATAAATATTAGAAAGACTTCTTCGTAGCTTGTAACACAATAGCTATGAGCAGCAGCACAAACTACAGCCTCCTAGAAATGTTTCAACACAAAGCGTTATGAAGGAGGATTTATTGCATGACTATTGAGGTAGAGATTGTATTATACTCAACTAGAAAGGTTTTCATGAGAGAAAGTGGATGTTTAGATTCCTAATATGTGGTCAGTTTATCCTGTTAATGCTTGTTTGGAAATTTTCTGTGGTGGTTTTTGGAAACGTGATGGACGTAGTTTGAAACCAGCCTAGCTGTCGCTTGAGCCTACTTCAGTAAACACATGGTGAGAACAGTCTGCTCGTGAAATCTATTCCCTGGCAGAGACAATTATAATAATTAAACCACAAGAATAAACTAAAAGTAGAACACCTATGGTGCATATTTATCTTTGATCCAGTGGTAACAGTTTGTAGAAAGTCTGGCCTTTACACACTTAACTTTGCACAACAATCAATCCCTGTCATATCCATCTGTCGTAAGGTTGATATACAATAATATACACAAACCACAACTACAGCTACCTTTTAAAACTGTTTGGCTTTTTGATCTTTATGAAATTTGCTGAGCTTTAACAGTAGATCTCTGAGCTAAATATATCCATAATCCACCTCACTCACTCTCTTTTGCAAAGGAGCCCACAGACCAAGAGAGAACCGTGCCTGCATTCAACAATTAAACTCTCTAAACTCATTCATTAATTGGTCAATTAGGACCAATCTACGGCTGAGCTAAGTACAAATCAAAGCAGAATAAAGGTGAGAAAAGTGTACAGAGGGCTGAGACAGAAACCCAGAGGAAAACAGAGAGCGATAGGGAGCTGAAAGGCAGGGGAGAGAGGGGGAGCAATGAGAGAATGTGCTGAGAGGGTAGAAATGTTGTAGAGATGAAGAGCGCAAGTGTGATAAAGCAGGCAGAGAGAGACATCTATAATTGGATGAAGAGAAAGCTTGGGGGTGAGAAAGTTGCAAATCAGAATGAGAGGAACACTCAGTGTAAATTTGCTTCATGAATTTTCTTTAAAAAGCTAAAGGAGTGAGTGTAGAAACATACTGAATGCAAAGTATTTCATATCGCTCACAAGGGTTCTTTGACTGTTGCATGGATGAGTGAGTATGATGATGACGTGGATCATATCTGTCCTTCACAGTCACCAGATATCCACCCAACTGAAAACCTATGTAAGACAGCGCTACCCATCGCCACCATCATCAAAACACTAAATAAGGGAATATTACACACTGTATGTTGGGATGAACAAGTACTGCCCAGACTGTCATGAGATGTTGGTATGGATATCCATTGAATCATTTTGGTGACCCTATGACCTTTCCTTTTGTACAGACTTCGGGACAAACGTTCTAATGTGTAATGACATCAATTTCTGCTCCCCGGAGGAGGAAATATTAGATTTTTTAAGGGACCACAGCTAGGGTCAGCAATTAGGGTTTAATGATGTGCCAATTTTTCCCACACTTTGCTTTAAAAAGTGTCTTGATATACCGAGTAGTATGGGAGAGGAATGGGTTAACTAATTGCTTGTGCCCATCTAACATGTCTCCAAGGTCCTGCTCCTGGCCCACTCTCACCTGCTCGCGGCCCACCTCAGAACGGAGAAAAGCATGGAAAGGGTTGTGGCAAGATTCTACTGGACCTGCATCACAAGAACTGTCCAAGAGTATTGTCGCAAGTGCAAGGACTGTCACTTCACTGCCCCCAAGCCAAGGTACCAGAGTCCACTCATTCCACTGCCCATTATCAAAACTTCCTTCCAACGACTCGCCACGGACAAAGTTGGGTCCCTACCAATAACCAGTCGAGGACATTCATTTGTCCTGGTCATCAGTGACAAGGCCACGCGTTACTCGGAAGCCACACCATTACGCAGAGCTAGTGCCCGAGCAATGGCGTGAGAAGCACTGCTCCTGTTCTCCAGAGCGGGCATAGCGGCCCAAATCCTGACTGACCAAGGTACGGGTTTTATGTTGAAAATAATGCAGCAACCCTGCAAGAGGTTGAGAGTAAAACAGATACACATCTCTGAGTACCACACCCGAGGGCCCAAGTGATGGCAAGTAGTGAAAAGACACCTTGAAGAAGCCCAAGGAGCGGGGTGAACCAGCTGTAGCCCGTCTCCAATCAGCCAAGCACAGGCTGAAAAGCTCCTGGTAGCAGAATTGCCATAAACTGAAAACACACTGTCAAATTGTTAAAGACTAAAACATGGACAATTCTCATACAGGAAAACACCATGGTAGTGACCTGTCAATCACAAGGTAGCCACTCCTTTAAGCATACCCTGTTTTATAGTTTATTTTACTTTAAACGGGACCATAGTTCACAAAATGACATCATGCCGTATTAAAGAAGTCTTGAAACTAGTGATTGAGATGATAAACTCATGTTTACAATGTTTACTGACTTCAGGTGGTTAAAGCTTGTAATTGTATGTCCTGTGTTGTTATGAGACTAGAGATATAATTGATAGATTACAGTATCCAGTAATCAGCCATCATGAACCTCATGATATCACAGTTTAACAGAAGTTTACCAGGTTACCACTGAGCTCCATCAGCCTCCAGACATCTGATGCGTAGAAGAGAATGTGTCAAATCCTCAGCATCTCATTTCATTAAGTGGTCATCCAGTAATGATACAAATGAAGGTAAATGAAAGCAGATACAATATTCTTCCAGTTATATATTTCTGTTATAAGTATTATATTCCGTGCCTTTGCACACATGTCATAGTTCTGTTTTAGCCATTTAACAGTATATTCATATTTTCTCATATGATATCAGTATAATATTATAGTGACTGAGTAATCTGTCTCCAGATTCTATAAGAGGACAGTTTTCTGTCAGTTGTCTGGGACAGCCTGTGATGCACGATGAAGCTGATCAGAGTAGCTCACACAACAAGACCACCCAGTGTACTGCTGACAGTAGAAACAGTGTTAATCCTGCCCTCAACCTATATTCAACACAACTTTTTAAACGGTAATAATATATTATAGTGAACGCTAACAACAATGTTTTCTTATTTGGCAAGTCTCCAAGAGCACTTATCAGTCAAACTAAAATGACCTACTCGTGCATGAACACCTGGTGTGCATCAGTGACAAAGAGACAAGTGAATGAGCAGAGAAGGCAAATAAAGCTAGAACATGCCCCACAGCCTGAGTAAACCACTCCAAACATGCTTGGCATCACACGCCAGGAGAAATATACGTAGCAGCATGGCTCTAAAATAAGGACAGGACTGACCACGTCTAACTTGTCTGATTTGAGGCGTATGTAGGGGTCCAGTGTTATCTTAGGTTTGGCCCCCGTTGGTGACCTCTGGCTGGTTGAACCTAAAGAAAAGGGAAAAGAAAAAGGAGGTGGGAAAAAGGGGAGGAAGAAGAAGAAGACACATGAAAAATACAGTTGATTTTCTCAAATACAAAGGGGGAAAGCAGCGACCAAGATTGTTGTATGAAAATGTTAGGCCACAGAACACTTAGTAAACAACAGGAGGAGGAATATCATTGCATAATCTGTAATATCAGAGTGGATGGACAGATATTCTCTGTGGATTTGGTGGAAGTGGGTGGTTGTGGTGATAGGGGAGGTGTGTGTGTGTGTGTGATTGCGTTAGGATGGGGGGGGGGGGGGGTGAAAAGCAGATGATTAAAAAGAGATGAGTAGAGGAAAGGTGGAGTGGATGATTATATAGATGGGAGAGGGGAGGGCAGACAGCCAATGCCTAATATTAATTTGATGAGTTTGTCTGTCCCAGATTTGCAATGGGAACCTTTCCTCTGAGTATGAGTGTCTGTGTCTGCACACCCCTGTTGCTAGGGCTATGAACTAATTTCACTGACTACCCTCGTCCTCGTCCCGCCCAAAGGATTTGCACCATCCTTAACCCCAGACTGGTCATGATGATTGACAGATCTGCTGTTGTGGCAACAGCAGATGCTATAGACCCTGCTCCAGATACCTTTCCACATCAACAGTACAAACAAAAAACACAACCGAAATTAGCCAGAAGTCAATCTGAAGTAAGGAAACTAAATAGGAAGTGTCACACCCAACTGCTACAAATATGGTATCTCTGTATGAACTTGCCATCCCTGTGGTGTTTTTCTACGGGAGCAATTTGGGGTTAATGACTTAGTGGTCCTGTCTCCTTAGAGCGCTGGTTTACAGCAACTGCTCAGAGTCTGCTGATGTTACGCTGTGCATATGTGTACAGAAGATGTTAAAACAGCTCTCTTTACAGCCTATTGTACTCCACTCTATACAGCCCACTTGTGATGCAGTTATATACAGCAAAAATGAAAATGATTCAGGTGGCATTTAATGATGCTTTCAGAATCTTGCTCAAGCTCCCAAGATGGACAAGTGCAAGTCATATGTTTGTGACTAGTAATGTTCCCACCTTTCATGCTATGTTGTAGTATTTTATGTTAAAATTGTATGTGTGGTTTAATTGATTAAACATAATTAATCACAATGATAGTTGAGCCAACACAAAGGGATAAAAGGTAGTGTTTGTGCATCTGTGTGCATGTGCAAACACAGCTCTTTGCTTTCCTGGCAGTTGATATTGCATATTTTCAAAACATCTTTCACATTTTAGTTAGATATAGAAACTTTTTTTTCCTCAACTACAAATCTTTTGCACATATAAAGAAATAAATCATTTCATGTGTTTACAAAAGGTTGTATACAACCAGGCACTGAAATGATTTGTATTATAAATTGACAAGCGTATCGACCCTCAAGGTTAAAAGTTTGAACTCACAGAGGCTCCACCTTCTACTGGACTCTGTGTGTACTGTCCTCCAATTACAAGCATGTATTCGGCCACTAAAAATCGTCTGCACTGGTGTTGCAGACCATCCAGACGGAAAGAGCAGGATCCATCATTACCTGTTACAAGGTAAAGTGGTCTTTATGTTTCACTTTCTTTTATCAAACAGTAGCTAGCTACTAGCGTTAGCCAGCACCACAGTTAACTTGATGGACTGTAAGCTAACGGTGTAAATGGATTTGGACTTGGGGGCGTGGCAGCAGCAGGATACATCCGTGAAGCGATTGGAGGACTCTGCTCTGCTGACACAGCTTTGGGACTCGCCACCTCAGATGTACCATAGAGTCCAGTAGAGGGGGCGGAGTCTGTTAGAACAAAGGTTACGATGTTGTAACCCAAGTTCTATAGGCACAGGCAGAGCCCTCTACCATGGGGTTGTAGGATGGAAGATAGCGGTGTGTGCTGCCTTATATACTGTGGGTGCTGCCTTATATACTGTGGGTGCTGCATATTCTTCATTGGGGGAATGTTGCTTGTAATTGGCGGAGAGTATTAGCCATAGAGTCCAGTACAGGGCGGTCTGTGTGAGTAGGCACTTTATACCTTGAGGGTCAATATGAGAAGTATCACGCATAGAAAAATGATAAATGGCCTGTGCTTATAGAATTAGGGTTACAATATTGTAACTTTTGTTCATTGTCGAACTGTTTGGCTTTACAATGTAAAAACACGTCGGATTCACACTTGACCTCTGCAATCATTACATATATAGTAGGACCCCAGATTATAATAGTTGCATGCAAAAAGGGTTTTACACAGTTATGTTTATCTCCCTAACAGGATTATACGTCTTTGATAACCTGTGGCCTTAACACTGCATGAGAGATAAGAGAGGAGAGGTCAGAGAGGTCAGCTGACTCAAGGAGACGAGTGTGCATATGTTTAAGTATACGTGTGTATGACCCAGTGGTATCAGTGGTGGGGTAAGGAGGCCTAAGTTGAAGCACAGATGCCTACCAGCCCACCACCTTCAACCCTGCTTCCCATAATTCAACAGCAATGGTACCATACAGAAATTAATTATTGGCAGCAGTCAATTTCACTCTTTAATAAAAACAATAAGATATCCAGCCAGTATTTGTATCTGCTCACCTCCCCACAGACTGCTGACATTTCATGGTTAGCAACTGGCTTAACCAATAGGAGCCTGGAGGGAAGCTCAGTGGTCACAGCACCTTGGAAATAACCTTGACTGGGGTAATCCAGGCCAATAGGATTGGGCCAGGATATCAAGTGGCTTTGAGCTGGGACCTATGGGCGACCCTCAACCCTAGAGCTGCTGGTCTGTTTGAGATTTTTATCAGAATTTTATCATCAAGCACTTTCTCTTCAACTAGAAACTGACTCTTATTTTCAGTATTTAGGTTCTTCAGCAAAAATATGTTCCATGTGTGCTGGTTGGACCGCAGTAAAACCCTTGTCACACCTGTTATTAAAATTCAATTCATCTAACAAAAGCTTAACTGAGGTTATGCTATTATTAGATTAAATGAGGTTCCAGTAGGCAGATGTCAGCAGAATTGTATGTCTCTAACAATCATTCTATAGGCTGATACTGTATTAGCATGGACTCATGATCTTATGAACAATACCAAAACACCTGTCACACATGCATACAACAGTGAATGAGAGCATCTGAAAGAGATTCTGATTAATCATCATCCATGAGCTGCGAGGGCTTGAAGGAGATTTTCATTTGTGTTTGAAACAGCAGCTGCTATGCAGATTCACTGAGGATAAGAGGGAGGATGGAACAATAAGGACATATACACTCACTTTTATCAAGAGGGTACTTTTTCATGATCCCTCACATTCCTGTGTGATTGGAGGTCCCCTGCTGTGCTGTGGTTTCTATTAAATCTCATCCTCTCCTCTACACTTAATCCACAATCTCTGTGAGGGAGTAAATGTTCCCCGTTTTTTCACTCTCGGATCAGATGGGTTTATCTAATATGTTTCAGATTTAATGGACTTCCAGGACAAACCACTGAAAGTCTCAACTTTGATTTGGCAGGCGTTTAATAGTCCTTTAAAGGTTATTTGATGGCATAGCTGCTTTGTTAAACTATATAATACAAGTAAAGAAGATAGTGAGAGTGGTGGATGATGATGGTGGAGGGAATGTGATGGGTGTTATGGTTAAAACCAAGAGCAGTGATCATCAGGACAACGATGCCAGATAATTGGAGCTCTCTGCCTACCGATCGTCTGGGGATGTCTAAATGCAAAGTTGTTGCCTGAACGACTGCTAATAAACCCACGGCCCTTATATGTCCTGGATTCAGAGAGGCCAATCACAAGCGTTTATCTACATATGTGGGGACATGTGGGAATAATGTGTTGTTATTGGTCAACGTCGTCTAGCACAGGCCTTATTGGAAATGTTGCTCTCCCCCTGTTCTCCAAGACAGTGTTTGTTTTTAACCAATGAATATGTTTTACTGCACATGTGACAAACATCAACTAACTTTGAAGAAGTTTTCTTCAGTGACTGCAGCTGAGACATCCCATAATGTACGGGGCTGAGGGGTGGTGGAGCTACTGCTCAGCTGCCGGACAGACGGCTCCGGGGGACAGAAATAAAATCTGAGCCTGCGAGTCACTTTCTGGAGCTCTATACTAGTGGGAGGAGAGCTCTGACATTTAAACTTTGAACGGCAGACACAGTGAGACAAAACTGAGACAGCATGTTAGCAGAGCAGCTTTAGCAACAACAGGTCTGTGCATCTGTTTCCTCTACAGTGTTTCTAAGCACAAGACTTCTGCATGTCACCACCCCAATACGAAGGGCCGCCCTAAAGTTGGATTGGTTCTGCTATGCAGGTTTTTTAAAACTAGATTGATATAAATGTTTCCACCCAGTTTTAGTAAACAAGTATCACTGTGTATTTTTTAAGAGCAGAATGCTGACATATTCTATATTTCTCTTATTGTCACCAAACCCTATAGAAACAATCACATCCAACAATGTGTTAGTCTGCCTCTTAATACTTTCTGACCTCCTTAGCCTGTCTGTGGCTCTCTGCCCCAAGCCCAATGGTTCCTCCTGAATACATGCCCATTATAAAAACAGCTCACACACCACCAAGAGGAAATAGTGCATTTGTTTCAGTGGTGGATTAATCCACATTTGGTTCTCTGGTGAGTATTTGTGGCAGCAGGATGGTGTATGTGAGATTGAGTCAAAATATACTTCATTAAAGTGTGTGTGTTGATGGTATTAGTGAGACTTATTCATGTTTTTATTAATGGAGCTCTATTATTACGATTAAGACATATCAGGCTTGGATACACGCAATACTTGTAAGTAGATGAAAAACTTTGCATGGACGAGTAGCGCGCCTGCACAAGTGTAAAACTGTTCATGTGCAATTGTTTTAAATAGTCAGGTTTCAGTGAAGATGTAAGTAGTGATCATATGAGAGTTGGATTATACTGCACCAGTTGTGTGAGGGTTTGTAAACTGATGTTTTCATATAGTTTGGCTGTGTTAATGCGGCCCTCATTTACTTTAATTCATCAATACTTTTTCAGTATAAAATATGAAGAAGATATGAGAGAAAACAACATTTTCTCCAAGAAGTCAAGGTAACACACAGTTCATAACTATTTTACTAATGATCCCAAAAGAGTCTCTGTAATGTGAAATGGTTCTTAGAACTTTCAATCGCGCTGTGAACTAACAGCCCAATCTGCTCAGCAGCAGAGGCAGAGCAACAGTTGAGATTATATATAAGAAAAAATGAAGGGAAATTAAGAGGGAGTGAGCTTTACCTGAAATATGAATATCTGGTGGGCAGATGTCAGGAGAAGGTGAGGACACTGGGACTGGCTCCTCTGTACAGGTCTACAAAGGAAAATTGATGACACAAAAGATGACTTCATGAACACTGATGTTAGGTCCTCAAAGGTAGGGCTCTGACAGAGCGTTGGTAGGACAGGTCTAATGCAGGAGGTCTCAAAGAACCTTATTCACCAATCACTGCACAGAATGGAGATCACTTTGTGCCATAGAATCACTTCAGACTTTAACAGAAATGATCATCTCAACATGCAAGTTACAAAAAAAAAAATCATGTTTTTACATTAAGCTTGTTAAATCATTTTAATTCAAAATACATTAGTCATTCTATTATCTGTTTTTTAAAGCTGGTCAATATATTGATAGATCATCATAAACATGAACTCTTTATAAGTATTTTCTTATTTCAAAGGCACACTGAGTTCCACATAGAACATGGTCTCAAGACCTCGTTTCTCAAAACCCTCTCATCAACTTATCTTCCATTTCACTGTGAGTCAGCCGATAGAGGAGTGAAGATGTGTTTTACAAACAAAAGCCTTGTCATTTTTGGTTCACTGTGAAATATTGCTTATGCGGTTTCATAATTGTTTCTGTTGTAATTAGAATAACTGCCTTGCGGTTGTTTACCTCCACAAACCAGTCATGTTGCAGTTCAAAATGTCATCACTTTATCATTTTATCTATTTAGACATTTGTGTGAAATTGTCCTAATTAGCATATGGACTGTGGAGTTATTGCCAAAAATGTGTCTTGTGAGGTCACAATGACTTTTGACCTTTGTCCACTAAATTCTAATTAGTTCATCATTGAGTCAAAGTGGCCATTTGTGCCAAGTTTGAAGAAATTCCCCAAAAGCGTTCCTGAGATACCGCGTTCACAAGAATGGGACGGACAGACAAACATAATGCCTTCGGTCATGTCTGTCGAACTCAGAAGTCCAATGATAGAATGTCCTTGAAAAAGAGATTTTTAATCTCAATGGGACTCACCTGGTTAAATAAAGTTTAAATTAAAAATTTAAAAAAAAAAAAAACCTTGACATGTTCTGGTATGTCTGGTATGTTTCTGATGCCTGAAACAAAGCGTAGCTGACCTCAGGTGATCTGATGTGGACTTTTAGGCGTCCAGAGTTGTAGCTGTTGCCTGCGGCTCGCTGGACCCCGTTGTGGAGAGATGTGCTGCTGGGAAAAAGTCCTTTCCCGGGGATAAAGGCTATCTCCACAGCACCGTCTTGGCTGGAGACCCAATCCATAAAAATACAAAGACTTAATCATGTACACTGACGTACATAAAAGCAGAGGTAAGAGGGACGGTAGTGGCAATTTGTACAGCTGACTAATCCCTACTGAGATCACAGATGTTACTCACTTTGAGTTCTACAAGAACCACTCACCTTACTTTGACTTTGTTCAGCATGCTTTTGGCCTCTTCGTGGGTCACACCTATCAGGGACTCCTTATTAACGGCAATGAGCTGATCTCCAGGCCTCAGACGTCCGTCCTGCACAACAGAGACAGAGCCTTTAGTCATGCTGAGCTGAAGAACCACACAGGTAACATATTTTCCTTTGACAGCTCATTCTGTTAACAGATTGCTAAATCTTCTTGACTTGAGAGTTTGGGCCAAGTATCACTGCACTGCATAAGCTAACAGCTAGACAGCTGTGTAGGTAATGGTTACTAGCTATAGACCTCAAAGACAAGACCAGTACTGGTCGATAACATGTGATAAACCATAGGCACTCCTCAACTTAATCTGAAAGGTCTACATTCCCCAAGAAACACCCAGAGAAAACAATTTAAGATCATTTACACACACACACACACACCCACACACACACACACACACACACACACACTATCATGAAAAAGGCATTGAAGCGGTAAATACATTTCTTTCTATGACCAATCACAGTAATGATGATAACAAATAATTCAGGCAGTGGCAGTTTATATGAAGGCAAATCACTGTCAAAATCCGAGAGCGCAAATGAGAACCACACGCGCGCAAATCAAACAGCCACGCATGTATTTTACTTTCACGAGCGCTTTTACATCACTCCGCGAGCTAAATTCACTCTCGCGCGAGCTAAATTCACTCTCGCGCGAGCTAAATTCACTCTCGCGCGAGCTAAATTCACTCTCGCGCGAGCTAAATTCACTCTCGCGAAACTTTAACCTTTATCATGCTCGTGAGTAGTTTTTCTTTTTGACAGTAAGTGGGCGGGCCCAGTCTCCATTGTATCTCTACATCTAATTGGTTACAATCATCATCTTTGGATAGACCAGATATCACTATGACACAGACGCTAGGTCTTGACACCGGTCTCGATACCAAGACGGATCTCGACGACTACAACACTGATAGTGTGTGATAGTAATAAAATAATATCTAAAGTGACAATTCAACCTGTAACTCTGATTGTGGGACAAAGATCAGAAACATAAGTGTTTAAAACATACTAACTTCGATCTGTTCTGGGTTCATCTACCTCAGGGAAGGTATAGGGTCTGTTAGCGTACACTTAGAACCAATTCAATTAGCATGACAAGGTTTGATCCCATCAACCATATAACCTTGGAGGAAATTGTGCAACATCTGAAATTTAACTCCAGTTTTAATATATTCCCAACTGGCTTTTTCATAAATGTTTTTAACAGCATTGGCATCAGAAACTGAAAATAGTCAACACTTCTCTACTCTGTTTCCCAAACACATGAAACTTCAGTTATTAAGCCACTCTTAAAAAGTAATAATCAGGATACCTCACTAATGACCAATTACAGGCCTCCCTTTTTTTAATTAAATAATTGAAAAGAGCAACTTATTTCAGCAACTTAAAAGCTCTAACAAAATGTTTTCATCTTTTCCAGATTTCTGACCCTCTGTGTTATTGTGTGAATGAACACAGACAGTGGAGTCTTGGCATTTGACACGTTCAACCACAACATATTACTAGACAGACTGGAAAACTGAGTGGGACTTTCTGCCACAGTGACTACTTTGTGTTGATCAGTAATTACATACTGTATCTGAGCGTACTGTAGCAGAACAGAAATACACAGAATAGCCCTTTTCCAACCTGACAGGAAAAGAAGGTGGGGAAAGAGAGGCTATAAATTAGACACACCTGTGAGCTGGGGGAAGGGAAAACCCAATCAACTCACCAAAGCTGCATGGGAGGAGAACAAAGAGAGGAGTGAGAGTGGCTAATGGAGTTATTATTCACTTTCTGGACCTGTTGAGCTCAAAATAAGAAAATGTTGACGAAGACTAAACTAAATAGGAGCAGCAAGGATCCGTGAACCGGCTGGATACACGGAGCTTTCTGGGAGGACAAGGCCTTACTGGAGGTGTGCTGATCCCGGGAGCAGGTGGTGAACAAAGAGTCTCCTTAACTTCGGGGATTCATCAAGCCACTAGTGCAAATGTCTTACAATAATTATGTGGACAACACACAGATTTACAATATCCCTTGGTGACTATGGACAAGCACCGAGTATACCGAGAACAATTCATATAAAATGTGGGTGGGTGTGCCTGAAGTTTCTTCAGTTAAACAAAGATAAAATTGAAAATAATTTGTCTTTGGACCCAATCAACGACAAGAAGATCAATTACAAAATCAGCCTACTATGACTAATGTATAAAGAATTAAAGGACTGATGTCTCAGTAGGATGTTGTTCTCCAGTAGGCTCGAGTACTGTAACAGTGTTTTTACTCTCTCTAAAAATTCGATCAGACAGCTGCAGCAGAGTCAGAATACTACCGAGTCCTCACTAAGACGAGGAGAGTGTATCAAGTGGATCACATGAGTCCTGTTCTCTGATCTTTACAATGGCTTCCTGTTTGACAAAGAAGTGACTTAAAAGCTCTTGTTGGTTTAGAAAGTATTGAATGTTACAGGGTCAAAATAAATGTCTGATCTCCTGCTTGTTCTGTGTACTCACTGTCACCAGTAAGCAGGGTTTTGCCACCTTAGGTACTAGTCAAGACAATTTTATTTATATAGTGCCAAATCACAACTAAAGTTACCTCATGACACTATTCATAAAGCAGGTCTAGACCGTACTCTTTAATTTTCCGAGATCCAACATTCCACCATGAGCAAGCATTTGCATTCCCTTTAACCGGAAGAAACCTAGAGCAGAACCGGACTCTAGCTGGGCGGCCATTTGCCTGGACCGGTTGGGTTAGACACTGAGATGCACATCAACAACTACAGCTCTGATAAATGCATAGCTGCATAAATCCCCAGCTGACTCATCCCACACAGTAAATCACTGTGCATGACATGCCAGCTTGCTTCCTATATGACACATGGGATTAAGAGTTGGGATTTAGAGGAAATGGACAACCTGCTTCCATAAGCACAAGACTGAGAATCTGAGAGAGTGAGTGTTAGCTATTGTAAAAGAGCCAGGCATTAGTGTACAGTGTGGAAAGAGTTAGAGAGACTTAATGACAGTGTTGCTTTACTGTGCCCTGTCTCTAACACAGTTGCATGTAGTTCTACTACTCTGTATCATTCACCATCTGGTAGTGGAGATACTGTATGAGTCAATAGGTCAGTGAAAAAGAAACGGACTATAGCCTTATCCCTGAGGAAATCTGGATTAATGCACTTAGTGTGGAGAGATGGCTGTAGACTTTCCAATGATTCGTTTTTTAGTTAGGACCTTATAAATGCACGTGTACATTGTATGCCAGTTAGTTTATTGATTTATTTAACTGATTTTTGGCGTCTCTGGGGCAGTGGAATAAGCTGAGTCACAACATCTGACAATGACCTAAAAAGCTCCAAAGAGAAGTGCAGAGACTATGAACCCTAAAAGTGTTGATTACTCCAGCATTAAATATGCCAGTACCGAATGTTAAAATAAAGTTAATGAAGACATTCAGCCCACACAATATTCCACATACATGAAATAAATAAAACTGTGATCATCAAACATTTTTAGGCAAGTATGCAACGTAAGTAATGCTGAGATCAGACTTTATGCAATTTCTGTCTTCTGAGATAGTGACTGTTAGATAAGGCAATCATAGAGACAAGTCAGTGCCACACTAGCACATACAACGTTCAGGTGGCACATGACTCCATCTTCCTAGTTCCTATATTCCTATTCATTACCAAAGGATCTGCAGTATAGACTGTTTGTACAGAGAGGATATACAATTACTTCAGGGTTTATATCACAGTATGTCCTGAATATTCCTTGTTCTTTTGCCTGCACCTTTAAATACTGATATAATCCCCTCCATCACTTGAAACAGGTGCAAGTTCATGAAATGATTCTCTAATAATACTAATTGTATTAATAATGCACAGTGTGTACAATTAATGCAGCTCAAAGTGCTTTACATGAAAATCAGAAATAAGACAAACGTCAGTGAAATAATTTGTATGGGAACTAATATTAAATAACCATGAATGAGACATAAATAAATGTGTGCACTTTTGTGACTTTTATTTTAGTTATTGGAAAATGATTACTTGCTTTGAAGTATTTTACTCTAAATTGTAATCAGTTAAGCTATAGTTTATTTGATTGTTTAAATCTAAACTGGGGAGACCCACGATAAGCCTTTTAGGCTTCTGGCCTTTATTGTATATTCTGTCAGTATTTATATTGTTTTGGTAAATGTTCCTTATTATGTGCTATGAAATAAAAAGAAAAGAGAGAAATTAAAGTGACATGCATATCAAGCTCATCATGTCAGAGATTAGACTGTATAACTGGATGCTGATGCGACTTAAAGAGAGGAAATCAAAACAAATACCACAACCGTTTTTGCAGCAAAATGTCACAATACTGATAGAAACCCATTTTGCAAATCTTGTACAAAAAGATACAAACCAGTGCTCAAAGAACTTTCCACAGGGATCATGAGGCACTCTCTGTGATCACTGTCACTCACTGGCTTCTAGAATAAAAATGATGTAAATCCTGGCAGGACATATGCAACAAGAAACATCCGCTTAGTAACAGCTCTCTTTAAGCGTATTCCTGTACACTCGGCCTCTCCCATCCATTCTCCTCCTTTTCCCTCCTTGTCATTTTGCCCACAGTTGACAGTGAGTGGGCAGACAGAGAGGCGAGGAGGATAGGATTCGGGAGAAAGAAGCAGGGGAAGCTGGAGAAAAGGAAGAAGGCAGCAATATGTGCAAACAGAGGGGTGTGTAGGTGTATTTCAGTGCACCTGCCTATCATGGTCAGGGTTGTGATTGTTGCCGCAAATTCAACATCTTCATTCTAATTCAGTGTGGCTTTGTAACACAAAGGCAGTAAAACTGCCTGTGCCAAAGCACACTGTATCAAAACGTGCGGCCTGATCGGGAATCGTGTGCTATGTATTTTCTAGAGAGATTCGCCCAGCGGTTTTCCCGAAAAACAGAGCAAAATTTCTCCATTCACTTGAATGGGGTTTCGGCATGAAGAGAGCTAAAAAAACACTTAAGTTTGGGCCCATATTGACTAGACATACATTAACGTAGATTACAGAGGTAGCCAACACGGTGCCCGCGGGCACCTGGTCGCCCGCAGGACCACGTGAGTCGCCCGCAAGGCATGTTCTAAAAATAGCACTAGTCACCATGGAGCTCCGTCTAAAAATTTTAGTTGCTGTTCATTTTTAATCAAAAATGCTAGCATTATTGTAGATTTTAAAATGACAATATTTCTTGTCGTAAGAGAGTTGGGTACCCAGAGGCGCACGGCGGACAGCCAGGAAGAGGCTGCTGTACCGCACTAGGTTGTCAGGTTCCGAATGACGGGCACTTCCCGTTGGCGCCGGACACGCGCCGCGAGCGCACTGTCGTCAGCTCACATTTTTAACACCACAAACATAAAAACCACATTAGCGCGTTCGGCAGAGTCTTATCTTTCTCACGATACCCATACTTTGGCACTCAGACTCCTGCTTTTTGTTCAAAATCACTGTTTACTGCAACGTTTCTTATCAGTCTACTTCTCCAACAATCTCTCTCTCTCTCTCTCTCTCTCTCTCCCTTGTCTCTCTCTCTCAATGTGTGTGTCAAACATTATGATTATGTCTCCTCTCCCCCTCTCTCGCCCACCCTTTCAAAATAAAAGCCCCACAGAGGGAATTCTAACTGGAATGCTTGTGATGAAGCCTGTCAAACATTACATCTAGTTCCCCCTGAAATTCATCGTAGTGACAGAAAATGTCTTCATGATGGCCTAATGATTGTAGTTTATTAAAACATGTCTTATTTTTCACTTTCTGCATTGGCACTTATCATTGACATTGAATGGGAATTGTGAAGTGCAGAGATGTCCAATATGGACATGAATCCCAAGATACTGGGCTGAGTGAGCACTGAGTGTTATTATAACCAATAGGTCAGTGAGGAAAAAATATGTCAAGGAGTTAACCATTCACAGCTAATCTCATTATATGAGGTTTGGTGGAAAAGGGACTGCTCTTTGAGGGAGCTCTTCAAATTAACAAATTCTCCTTAGAGGAGCTCAGCCTAAGGTGGCCTTCAGGTAATGTAAATATGCCAAAGTCTCTCTCTAGAGTCAGTGTTCAGTTTGTCCATTACACTAATGAAAACATATATGAATATTATATTCAATTTCTGACAACAAATCCCTTTAAATCCTACAAACTGTTCCTTTAAACACATTAGGTGTGAGGTTATAAAGGCACCTGTTTACACCCACATGAATACATCTGGACATTACTAGTCTACTAGTAGGCCAGCAACTAATGAAGCATGAATGTTGCTGAACAGCTGATGACGATCAGATAATGCAAAAGCGACTTCATTGCTCTGACAGAATTAGCACAATGCTCCATGATTGATAGTCAAAACAACACGTTGCAATAAAATATAATTATCCTTTATCAGCAGGACAGTTAACCGAGTCCCACTCTTATCGGATGGTTGATGCATGGCACAGCCAGCATTCCACAGTGTTATGGCAACCTGATAAACTGGAGCAATCTGTAGTGAGGAAGCCTTCATGTTAACCATATAGCCATGTGCTGCTCTCTCTCCTCCAGCAGACAAAGTGATCGTAGAGGCCTCTTGTGCGGTTGCAGAATCCAGCACTTGTTGCCTTGGTTTTGTCAAGCGCAGATGACTGTGTGAACTGAGTGTTCCCTACATTCCCTTAGAGACTGGCCAGGGTGCAGTGCTCATGCATCATGTTTAACAGCAGCTTCCCCTCAGGTTAAATGGAACGTTTACTTTTTCTCTCACTCACCTCAACTGTTAAGTGCTTCCACCAATGCACTCCTGTGCAAGATCCTTCAGCCGTAGGACAAAAACAAATAGCCAGCTGCTCTCAATAAAAGATGCAATGATCCAGGGATTAAAGTATAAATCTGATGATCTTCTAGACTTTTCTTTTTGTCAACAAATCTAATGAGAAGAACAAAATCAACAACAACTTAATCCTGCTAAAAACTAGTGTGTGTGTACACCTAAAAGAGCCACATCGAACACACAGTGTAGTTTATTTTGACTCCCACATACACCCCGCTAGTGGCCACCCTCACTAGAGCACCAAATGTGGATCAATCCAATGCTGAAAAGAGTCTGAGTAAGGTTTGATAAAAACTACAATGACCAGTTTTAGGAAATTACTGAGCCAAATGAAACATCATTGTGAGCATATTTTTGAAGATCCATGTCTTCAGTGAGACTGAGTGCCACGCACAAGATTGGGACTGCAGGTTCTGCTGCTGCTACTGTAGCATGTGCAGATCTAGCAGTACGCAATAAAAAATTCTCTGCATTGTAATTTTGTGTGTGTGTGTGTGTGTGTGAGAGAGAGAGAGATCGGGGAGCAGCAGCAGGGTGATGCCCTAAGCAGAATCATAGCTTGATGGCTGACCTTCACACTTGGTGTAGTGTGTCTGTTCTGAGACTCCTCTAACAGAGCAGCACTGACACTGAAACAACACAATCGCCAAGAAATATTCATGTTGTGTATGTTTAACATTCTTTAATCCAGCATGAATTCCTAAATATTCAATTGGATTTAATGAACCGACAGGACTGTTATGTTTGTCACCTTTTGGTAATTTCCTTCATGGAGTCATGGTGACACTACAGATAACTGAGAAAAAACAAGGAAGAAGTTTAACTGCTTAACTTTTCTCAGCTTTTCAACTATACTACTTTTTGCTTGTTGTGAGATTTGACAATTTTACAAAGTGTTGCCTGTATTCATTTTAAAAATGTAAGTGTGCAGGAAAGACTGCTAACTTTTTCACTTTGCTAGAAGAATGAACAAACTGCCCTGACAAGTTCCCACCAACCTGTAATTTAGTACTACTGACCGCTGCATCAAGGAAAATTTAAAGCAACACAATCTCCTCACCCCTGTTATGGCCTCTTTTCACCAGTTACCAGTTAGACTTGGAGTTAGTTTGATTGAATTTGACAAAAGAACATCATGGCCTGGCTACAAGCTACTTTGCTAAATTACAGCAACTCTCCAAACCAGAATACATCCTCATATTCTCTGGCAAGGAACTTGCATTTCAATTATGAGACGGTAAAAAAAATTTAATATCTTCATTTATATAGTAAAGAAGTTGCTTCACATGAAAAAAAAAAAATCAAAAAACCCAGCACCAATTAAAATAGCAAAAACCATATAACACACAACATACGTATAGAATCAGGTGAAATCAAGGAAGGCAGGAGTAAGACCATTTAGTGCCTTAAGTAATTATAAGAACCTTGAACCTTCTAATTGCATCAGACAAAGGACTTGTTTTTGTCTTGTTAGACCTTAGTGCTCCATTGATCATTACTTCCTGTTACAGAGACTAGAACATTTGATTGGCATTAAAGGAACCGCACTAAGCTGGTTTAAGTCCTATTTATCAGATCGATCTCAGTTTGTAAACGATGAAACCTCGATGAACACCAACGTTAGTCATGATGTTCCACAAGGTTCTGTGCTTGGACCAATCTTGTTCACCTTATATATATATGCTTCCTTTAGGCAATATTATCAGAAAACACTCCATAAACTTTCATTGTTATGCGGATGATACTCAATTATATCTATCGATCAAACCAGATGAAACCAACCAGCTCACTAAACTGCAAGCATGTCTTAAGGACATAAAAACCTGGATGACCTGCAACTTCCTGATGTTAAACTCAGACACAACTGAAGTTATTCTACTAGGCCCAGAACACCTCAGAAATCAGTTATCTAATGATATAGTTTCTCTAGATGGCATTGCTCTGGCATCCAGCAGCACCGTAAAGAATCTCTGAGTTACCTTTGATCAGGATTTGTCCTTTAACTCCCACATTTCTAGGACTGCCTTTTTTCACCTTCGTAATATTTAAAAAAAATCAGGCACATCCTGTCTCAAAGCGATGCAGAAAAACTAGTTCATGCATTTGTTACTTCTAGACTAGATTACTGCAATTCCTTATTATCAGGCTGCTCTAATAAGTCTCTGAAATCTCTCCAGTTGATCCAGAATGCTGCAGCTCGTGTACTAACAAAAACTAAGTAAAGAGATCATATTACTCCTGTATTAGCTTCTCTGCACTGGCTCCCTGTAAATCTACACTATAATGTAAAATCCTCCTCCTCACCTACAAAGCCCTAATTGGTCAGGCACCATCATATCTTAAAGAGCTTATAGTACCATACTACCCTACTAGAGAGCTGTGCTCCCTAAATTCAGGGTTAGTTGTGGTTCTAGAGTCTTAAAAAGTAGGATGGGAGCCAGAGCCTTCAGTTATCAAGCTCCTCTTCTGTGGAACCAGCTTCCAGCTTCAGTCCGGAGGGCAGACACACTCACCACATTTAAGAGCAGGCTTAAGACTTTCCTCTTACAGTTGGGGCTGGCTCAGGTTTACAGTTGGGGCTGGCTCAGGTTTACAGTTGGGGCTGGCTCAGGTTTACAGTTGGACCAGCCCCTAGATAAGCTGCTTTAGGCCTAGACTGCCGGGGGACTTCCTAGGATACACTGAACTCCTCTCTCCTCTTCTCTCTCTCCTGTATGAATTCATGTTATTCTAGTCCTGTACCGATGTGAGGGTCCTGGGACAGAGGATGTCGTATGTGTACAGATTGTAAAGCTGTCTAAGGCAAATTTGTGATTTGTAATTGTGTGCTATATAAATTGAATTTAATTGAAATGTAGCCTAAAACGTACTGAAAGCCAGCTGGTAGTAATGGATAAATGAACTTGCAATTGTAGAGCGCCTTCCTCGTGTAAAAAGGCTAAAACGGGGTAATGGTTTTGAAAATGTTATTTTCACTTAATGTTACTTTCAGCTGTCGTTACTTTCAGCTGTCGTTACTTTCAGCTAATTAGGTTGGTGGATTTATTTCTTACCCGGTGACAGTCTCCTCCAGACAGCACCTCCTGAATGAAGACAGCGGGGCCGTCGGTCCTGTTGGAGCCTCCTCCGATGGTGATGCCCAAACTGCTGGATCGTGCAACTGAAATGAGCTGAATCACTCCTTCACCTGGATGACTGAGAACAGGAAGACACGTGAACACGTCAATCTTTGAACTTCAGAAAATGAGCTCTGTTTGCTCTATCTTCGTGAATCAGTCAGGTGCACCATAACGGGGTGCAAACACACTTTTGGTATTTTTGCAACCAGGGGTGTGTCTAAGGCCTGTGGTAAACAATAACCTTTATTAGGCCTCCATGGCATTACTGTCGTAATTCTGCAAAGTCACAGGCAGAGTGAAAGTAATATTATCATCATTATTATCACTGATATATCTGTATTGGTACATATGTCGGCCACAAAGTAAGAAGAGATATAGTATAGACATACCAAAGATATGTTTGAGCCCATTTCTCAACTGTCATTACATAGTTTTTCTACCAGAGAGCACTGGCAAGTACATTAGTACACAGTACATATCTTGGTCACTTAAAAAAAGATAGTGATCATTATCAGAAGTGTTTCTGTCAGAAAAACTATCAGTCAAGATATTGGTTCAGTACTTTACAGTTTTTTTTAAACTCTCAAATATACATCCCCCAAAAAAATTCAGTCACCAAACTACCAAACTCGGGAAAATGCCACACGACCAGCGCAGCGCTTTGCACTCCACCTCAGAACAAAAGATAGAGATGAACTGACATATATAAGATATAAACTTACACAAAACATATGCAGAGCTAAAATATATAAACATTTAATATTGGCATGATTGATAGTTTAATTTCAGGCTGCTTGCTTACGACAAAAATCCTAATCACGTTTTTTTTTCGGTCAATAATGACAACAATTAATCATTAACTTCGGAAACATGCATATGAAATATTTTGTAGCCTACATTTAAGTTTAATGCATCCAATATTTTGTAGCCTACATTTAAGTTTAATGCATCCATCTAGTGGATTAGGAGTCCAAATGTAGGTAGAACTTTGTGCTCTAGTATACAATTAAATCTAGACACTTTGGTTGTATAGATATGAATGGTGATGACACGCAAAAAGTTCACACCCACAAAACATGGTGAACTTTCTTTAAAACAGGTAAAATAGGTTGGGATTATGTCATTTTTAATGCAAAGTTGACATTGTTATAGATGTCTTTGTTGTAACTTCATAAACATGCCAAGCAGGCCTAATCATCAAACTTCCAGAAGCTATTGAGCTTTATGTGGTAACCTTACATTACACTGTCATATGTGGCTGGTTTTGACATTGACTGTCATGAGACCTTTATGATTGCGTTTCGTGAATATGTTCCTTCACCTCAACTGCGGTGGAACACTTTGGACTAGTCCTTGAAATGTCAATAAGTGTTACACTGTCAAATGATTTTCTATCAGTGTCATGAACAATTCTCTTGACCTAAACCACAGCACAGTGGAACCAATTGGACTTGTCAGTATATTTGATTAAACTGTCAAATGATAATATAATGGTGTCACGAATAATTACCTTGACCTCAAATACAGTGGAACCATTTAAAAATTGTATTAAGTTGACAATAAATATCAGGCTAGTTTGACAACAGGGAATACAGTACAGAGGTGATTTACTGAGTGATGACAGATAGCTTCATGTGTTGCTAAAGTAACTGCTAACTGCTGCTAACTGTAGCTGCTAACTGTAGCTGCCTTTAGTCCGTTATCACGGTTAGCTGTTTTATTGGCTGACTGAGCAGGTGCCAGCAAAACCACCTCGGTACTAAATTCCCTGCCGTCAAACTGGCCTCCATTGGTTCACTGGGAGCTCCATTTCATGGGAACTTCCCATGACACGACGAGCCGAGTACTAGTCTAGAAAATTGTTAATGGGGGAGAAGGTTTGCACATTTACAGTGCCTTGCGCAAGTATTCACCCCCCCTTGGATGTTTCATCCTTTTGTTGCTTTTATACATGAAATCATGGTCAATATAATTTGGCTTTTTTGACAAGAATTTGCAAAAAAAGCTTCTTTAATATCAAAGTGAAAACTGATTTTTACAAAATGTCAATTAATTAAAAATATATAAGGTAAAGTAAATGGTTGCATAAGTATTCACCCCCTTCAGGTCAGTATTTAGTAAATGCACCTTTGGCTGCAATCACAGCACTGAGTGTGTGTGTGGATGTGTCTCACTCAGGCTGGCACATCTGGACACTAAGATGTTTCTCTATTCTTCTTCAGAACAGCTCAAGCTCTGTCAGGTTGCTCAGGGATCGGGCGTGAACAGCTCTTCTCAAGTCCAGCCACAAATTCTCGATTGGATTGAGGTCTGCGCTTTGACTTGGCCACTCCAGAACATTCAACTGGTGGTCTTTGAACCATTCTGTGGAGCTTTTGCTGCATGCTTGGAGTCGTTATCTTGCTGGAGAATAAATCTTCTCCCAAGTCGTAGTTCTCTTGCAGACTGAGTCAGATTATCCTCCAGGATTTGGCGATATCTTTCTGCATTCATGTTCCCCTCTACCTTTACAAGCCTTCCAGGGCCTGCTGCTGAGAAGCATCCCCAGAGCATGATGCTGCCACCACCATGCTTCACGGTGGAGATGGTGTGTTTGTGGTGATGTGCAGTGTTGTGCAAACATAGCGTCTAGTCTGATGGCCAAAAAGCTAAATTTTTGTCTCATCAGACCAAAGAACCTTCTTCCAATTGACCTTGGAGTCTCCCACATGCCTTTGGGCAGATTCTTTCTACAGTGGCTTTCTCTTTGCCACTCTCCCATACAGCTTCAACTGGTGAAGAACCCGGGCAACAGTTGCTGTATGTACAGTCTCTCCCATCTGAGTCACTGAAGCTTTGAACTCCTTCAGAGTGGTCCTAGGTGTCTTGGTGGCCTCCCTCATCAGTCCTCTTCTTGCCCGGTCACTCAGTTTGTGAGGACGGCCAGCTCTAAGAGATTTAAACAAGTGCCATACTCCTTCCATTTCTTAATGATGGACTGAACTGAACTCTGTGGGATGTCCAGTGAGTTGGAAATCTTTTTGTAGCCATCTCCTGACTTGTACTTTTCAATGATCTTTTCTCTGAGTTGCTTGGAGTGTTATTTTGTCTTCATGTTGCAATTGTAGCAGGAACACTGATGAACCAGAGACTGGAGCTCCCAGACACAGGTGTGTTTATACTACAATCACTTGACACACATCAACTGCACTCAGGTGATCTCCATTTCACTACTTGTGACACTGCTGGATCAACTAGCTGGACCTCTGTTGAATTAGGTCAGTCACTTTAAAGTGGGTGAATATTTATGCAAACACTTATTTTACATTATATATTTCTAATTAATTGACATTAGTTTGTAAAAGTCTGTTTTCACATTGACATGAAAGAAGCTTTTTTTGCAAATTCTTGACAAAAAAGCCAAATTATATTGACCATGATTTCATGTATAAAAGCAACAAAAGGATGAAACATCCAAGGGGGGTGAATACTTATGCAAAGCACTGTAAATAACATGTAAAACGGTATTAGTTACAGTAATAATAAAGTCTGTATTATCAATACCGAAATTGTTTAAATTACATTTGTAGAAGCATATATCTTATGGTAGATGCAATGCAACGAGCAAAAAAAAGTGTATTTGAAGTAAAGCATTGTCAAAATGAGGTTTGATTGTTCATTCCTCATTTCTACAGCTAAACTAGCAGCCACATTGTTTTCCCAACATGACGTAGAGCCTGTATTAACAGTTTTAAACATTCAAATATGGAACACTACTACTTAAAGGTACCATGTATAAATGATATGATAGGTAGCACTCAGATTTTAACACATAGCAGAGGCAAGAAAGTGCAGTTAACCTTAAAGAATAAGTCTCATGTCAGTCTCATGCACACCCCTAGAAATAAAGTGTGTCTGTACCATGTAGTGTCAACTGCCCACCTGCCCAGACTAGTAATGACACACATAAATAAAAATAGTTTGTAAATCTGGGTTTAGTATTTGCCAGCCACAACTTCCCAACTCGGTGTCTTTACAACAGGAGAGCCGTGTCGTAGTTGATGTGAATCCTGTACAAACAAATCTGACCTGAGGGAGCGCAACATGGGCCCACTGTTGTTGTACATGTTCTGAGAGCCTGCTGGGCTCAACAACAAAGGACTCTGGGAGCGAGACGAGGAACCAGATGATGTACTATCCAGGTAGCGGCCTCCTTTGGAATGTCAGGAAAGAACAAATACACACAACAGAGTGAGTACAGGCATTTAACTGTGCTGTGCTAGGAGGGGGAAAATCAACAACTGTCAAAATGAAAAAAGAGATGGCTTTAGATAATTATTTCAACAATTACTAACACTGGAAAGTAATTATTTAGATGAGGGGTAGTAAGCAAGCATGATGGTCTAGTCTTCTGACCACTCAAAGCTCTTTTACACTACATTCAGCCATTCACACCCTGATGACAGGAGCTACCATGCAAGGTGAGACCTGCTCATCAGGACTATCTACCATTCATACACCGACGGCACAGCTATCTGGGGTTAAGTGTATTGCCCAAGAACACATGGACATCTACTAGCAGAGCCGGGGATCGAACCACCGATCCTCTGATAGCACGACCCTGCTCTACCACTGAGCAAAGTCGCCCCTGATTCACTCCTTCCACATTTCAGACGTACTGTACTGAAATAGCATTCTTCAACAATTTGCTGCTGCTACAGATGGCTCAACTGAAAAAGTGTGTATGTTCCTGTTAAAACATGTCTTAAGCCTGAGTGACTCTAAGCACTGAATAATACCCAATATGCTGACCAAACCAACTGCAGAGCAGCCCAAATATGCCCCAGCATTTTTTTTCTTTTATCCACTGGCTGGGGTGAACATCTGCTTCTTTCCTGTCCTCACATTCAATGGTAAATCTCACATTGGGAGTTATTCACGCTGAATTCCAGCAGTATACAAGGATGAATACAGTTTGGTCGTCATATTTGAGTGTATAGAGAGACAACCAGTTGTCTGCATAAAATGAGTATCATATTCCTCCATAAATAGTAAAAGTGTTTGAAACTCTATCATCTGTGCTGCGAATCCTAAAGCGAATCCTTGTAGTATTTTGTTGCTCTTCTTTTGGTGGAGGAATTATTTACTTCTCCATGTGTCCTAAAGGTGTGTTAAGAGGTGGGACCAAGTCATTGAGTGAGTCAAGTATATAGATAACAATACTGATTCTCCAGTTGAGGAAAAGGTTGCTGTGCCATGCAGTGATTAAGTGGATCTCTGTGACACAGCAATCCTTTTCTATATGAGCTCCAGTATTTTTCTGACAAATAGGTCTCTTGTTGCATTTGTTTGTTTTTAAGTGAGGAGGACTGAATAAGATATTGACATATTATTCAGACGAGTTTTAATGTTTATGTATTTATTAGGTACATTTATTTTATATTAATCAGGAGTTTAAAAAATAATCTTTACAATAATCAATACATTTTAGATTAATCTGAAAAATAATCGTTCGTTTAATCAAAAATAATAATAATACTTGTTAACTATGTGCTGTTATCACCATATCTAAATGATTATTGCTTCTCCTTCATCTCTATAACGATCACCTCTAAGTGTGACTCTTCAGAACCACAGCAAACTCTTTTGATTTCCAACATGGTCTGACAACACGTTGCACATGTAGCATCACCCTGCCCTTACAGCTCAGCATCTCAACTCCTCATCTTTGAGTGTATGGAGAGATGACCACTGTAAACTATTTGTGTTTCACCATACTTAATAGATCAACAGGATACATCTCTGGAATCTCTCCACAAAAATATTTTTCAATGCACACAGAAATATGGTCATTGACATATAAATCACACATTGTATTTGTAAATTCTTCTGTGTATATTTGATAATATGCATACGGATCTGACCCCATAGATGTACCCTGATCCCCTGCACAGAGCACACAAACCTGCTCACGTGCTGATGCCGTGTTTTAACAAATCTGTACCAGCCGGCTGCCTCCTTCCTCACTGAAACAGATGTTGGCAATTGTGTAATGGACAAGTGCACTTGTCATAAGCTATTTTTAAAGGCAGACTTACTCCATCTACCTTCAGGCTTAGTACTCTGTCAAATATAGAACTTTTTACTCTTTACATAGAACTGAATGATAATGCCATTGATGCATTTTTGACATCAAACAGGACTTTGTACAGGAGTGTAAACACGGAAATTCAATTTCCCATACATGCTTCAGGAATAAAACAGAATGCGTAATATCATACAAAGGACTAAGTTGGGATTTGCCTACCTTGCTGTATGGGAGAGTTGCGTGTTGATCCTGTGCTGCTATTAGATCCATACTTCTCCAGCAACTCAGCAAATTCTCTCCTATTCAGGGAAACCAAAAGAGAAACATCAATGGGATAAGAGTTTGTCAGACAGATGCACACGTAGGCAGTTTTATTGACTAAGACTGTCTGAACCAGAACTGACCTTGAGTTGATGCCTACAAATAAAATATAACAGTTACGGAGGAACACAACATTTTAAATCATTATAGTGGTTTCATTTCAGATAGGGTCAGCTATTTAGCAGCAAGGTCTGTGTGTATAGCGGCCAGGAGACCACCCCGCCGGCAGGAGAGCGGCCAGCACTCAGCAGCTCCGTGAGACTGAAGTCCAGTCAGCAACTACAGCAACTCTCATCCAGACAGCACAGGCGCCGGGAGTCACAGGGGCTGGTGGAGTGCTGGGTCTAAACTGTGTAACGGCAGCAACAGAGATTTTGTCCCCTGGGATCAGACCCCCGGTGTCGAGGTTTGCTCGGGCTGAATTGGAGCTAACTGCTAACAGAAGGTGCGTCTCCTGGAGCTGCGTCACGCTCTACTCTCGCTGTAGCCTCCTGGTGGAGGGGAGCATGAGGTCAGGGTGCATTTCATTGTGTCGTCTCTGCCGCTGTCGATTTAATCCAATAATCAAACTCAAATGTACACAGGCCATGGATGTAGCCTATCGTTTACAAGCTTTTTACGTCCTCTCATGTTGGACTGAGGACAGACTGGACGCTACAGTGACTCACTATCTCCTCTCCAGGACCCAGTGGTATTAGAAGACGGGACGGGCCAGGGCTAGCTGGTTAGCAGCACAAACATTGACCTATTTGACACAACGTCAACACTGCTACTTCTTCACATTCTTTTGATAATCTTAGCTCTTTTTGTTCATGTTTTCACTCAAATGCTGGTCAGATCTTACAGGTTGCACCTTCAGGCATGAATTAAACTGGCCTTGGTATAATCCTAGACCAAGTCTAAGACTAAGTCTAATTCATAGCCAAGGTTCATTTAGATCTAAAGCCTTTCAGTCTGTCGGGCACCAACATTTAGATCAGTTGACCAGATTATGTCAGATACTCTCAATCTGTTACAAAAGATTCTGGCTCCAGGACAAATAAGGACTCCAATTGTTCTGGACAGCATAAAAAGACAACCTCAGGCTGCACCTCTTACACCCCCAAAGCTATTCCTTCAAGATGTCGGCGCTACCATGGAGCCCACACTGTCACTGCTGCTCTACCTGAAGAAATATGAACTCATTTCTGTAAAAACAAAGACAGAAGGCTCTACAATATGTGTTTGAAGGATATATCCAGGATGAAAACTGGTTATAAAGATAAAGCTAAAGATCACAGTGTGAAAGTGAACCTCCACATCACCTGACGATCAAGACAGAAAACAGTTCAATTAAGAAACAACACTGTTCCTGTGGTGCTAGGTAGGTCTATATTCAATGTCACAATCATTGAAATACATTAAGAATACCTTCAGTAGCTAGCATAGCATAGAAGTGCTAATGCAAATTATGATGTGCTAATGTACTCTGCTAATGTTGGCTCCTCAGGATTTTAGGTAGAAACGTAACCTGTATGTATAAATGTATATCTCCTTCAATCTCTCTGGGTAAGGAGTATCTCTTTTACACGTTTAACCACGACGAGCTCCAAAACCAGCCTGAACATGAGGAACATCTGAAACCATTGCTGAGAGTCTGTGGAGCCGGGCTGGATCGTTATCAGACCCTGGTCAGAGCTGGACCATGCTACGCTATGTGCGGGACTTAGTGAAGGGTCAATTGACACATCCTCTACTACACAGACTCGTGATTCGTTTGTGTTCTTCTCTTTACGTTCCTACTCGATTTACATTCCCGAGCCTCACGCTCCGTGTCGACTGCTTCACTCACAGAGCAGCTGTCATTAAACTTGCATTCTCTCCAGTGGTCATCAGGAGGCGACTCCTCTGGTTGTGTCTAAATACTTAATGGGACATTCTGAGTCCAGGAAAAGATTTTTTGCAAACACATGCATTTTACAGTATTTAGTAGAGAAATTATGATGCAAAGAAAATAAAAGTATATGTGCTCAGCAAATGTATTTGAATGTTTGCCATTATCCACATTAACACACAATTCTAACCTCTCTCAGTCACTTTGACTAATGTTCCTACTCTTAAAGTCCCTGCTCTGTGTTCACACTGTGTTTCTGTTGCTCTGTCAACATCAGCCATCTGTCATGATTACATGCTATGATAACAGCAACGTCATTTGATTTTCTTTTCATGTTTAAACGCTGCCGCAGCTGCTAAGCATGCAGCTACCGCTAAGCTAGTTCTGACTTGTTTTTAAAAGAAGAAGAGGAAGTCTGTTAAGGGGGAGACAGACAGACGGCATAATCCCCAATCCCCCCATCCACTCTCCTCCCCGCCCCCCCTCCGTCCTCTGGGAGGGTAGTTAAAGCACAGAGCACGGATTAACTCATCTCGTCAGGAGCACAGCCCTAAATTAAGCTCTCTCCCCTCCTCAGTCTGCTGTCATTCCACCACAAAGATGGGGGGGGGGGGGCCTCACAACATCAGAGTGCTAATCAGCTCAAAATAACACTACACAAGACATTCACGATTTAACCTTCATGAATCTTAAGATGCCACTTGTCAGCACTCACATTCATGCAGTTCTACATATTCATATTAGGATCTGCACAATGAACAGTGTGCTCCTGGTGGCTGTGTCACAGTGCTATTACCTCTATTAACGGCTCATTTCCTGCACGTATCCTCTGCTGAGTTCCAAATCATGTTCATGTTCATGTTCATGTGCAACTGTCTTGCTCATTTAAATTACAAATCCCCTACAACCTTTGTCCATTTACAATTAAGGATCATGTTGTCTGAAGGGGATTTGAGGGGAAGATGCAGTTGGACACCAATAGTACCAGCCATCAGTGTTGCCATGCTAATCAATACTGCTCTTCTATTGTATGCTGTACAAGTTTTTGAGAGGATACATTTATCATTCATGGTTGTATGAATAATTTATAATTTATCAAAAAACTAAATTCAGTACAGCTTTTATGGCAGCAGTTCAGTAAAAGTAAGGCTTTAATAATTACAGTGTGAGAATAAGCACTTTGAATATTCAGAGGAAAGTAAGAATTACAGTACTGTAGGTTAGAAGGTTAAGAATCTAACTCAATTGATTCATTGAGCAGAAGCCTGCAAACTCAATATTTTAGGTTGGAGGAAAATAATCACATAATGATGGATCCCAGTACAGGCACTGTGAGAACCATATCCAAGTACTGGTTCTTATACAAGGACACTTTGCTTACTTTGCTTCCTCATCTCTGGCTATGAGAAGGCGCATGAGATTAGTTGCAGAGGCTCCTCTCAAGATGTCCACAGCTCTGAAAAACAAACACACAGTCACATCATTGTTACAGCATCACCTCAGTCAATCATGTGGTTAAATGAATGACAGGAGCAGTAATTCTTTACTGGACTACCTTTCACTTGTGACTCCTACTAGACTGTCACCGTTCACCTCCAAGATCTGGTCCCCTGGCATCAGGTTTCCTGTCAGAGGTCAGAGTAAGGTCTTTAGTCCTTTGGTACACATTGGAGGCATCAGCTACATGAAAAACTATCGTTAGGCTACAAACAAACTACACCATGGTCATGAGCGTGAGTACACACAACGAGGCTGGGAAGGTGAACTAGTCGGCGTGATGACGTTTAGTCGTCTCATTTAGCCACTTGTTAGCAACTGCCTTTTTTAAGAGTCCTAAAAGCGGAATATATTTTATACCGAAGAACAAAACGTTAAAATATTTTAAACTCCAAAGACATTATTTGAGGCATCTAACCAGAAACCCATTTAAAAAAAAAAAAAAAAAAAAAAAAAAAGAGTGTAGGGAATTACATAAAATGTCTTTTATTTGTAGGGAATTAACTGAAAATCTGTTATTGAACAGTGGTGATGTGAGCTACTTTGTGAAAAGATGGTGCTCTGCTGTTATAACTGCTTAATAATAATTATGTTTTAAATGTCAAGCTGTAATGATTTGAGTACAAAGAGTTAATATGTGCCCTATATCCATCATTCATGGCAGAGAGAAAGTAGGCCATGCCAGTGTTGTGGTGTAATGTATTCATGTTTTCAGAGAAGCTTGTTCTGTCGCTCCAGGTCCACTGTCATTCCTGGTGATTTCATCCACACTAGACACATATATAGGGGATATTTGCTGCCCTCTTTTAGGTGCTAAACAGTCCAATTGCATTTGTCCTTGTGTACTAAAGGAATGATCCAAGGTTGTGTGCTGAGGACATCAGGCTATTTATCCAACGTTTCTCACGTACACCTTTTTAACACAAGAAGAAGAACAAGAATAAGAAGAAGAAGAGGAGGAAGAAGAAGAAAAGGAGGAGGAAGAAGAACAAGAAGAAGAAGAAGAAGAAAAAGAAGAAAAGGAGGAGGAAGAAGGAGAATCCAGGCTTCAAAACCTTCTTGCAATAAAGTGGCCATGTGTTTTAACAGTCTGCAGGCTTGTCTACACTCGTATTCGCCAACGAGGGGAGTGAGAAAAAATCATGCTAGTTACTTGTCAGCATCCCACACATAAACATCAGGTTCTGCATATCGATTGACCAATTTGTTCAATAACGGCTATACATGTTTGATAAGAGGTGCTTCAAACATACGTGATAAACTATAAACAGTAGAATACGAAGCACAGGAGCACAGCAAAGTTGTGCTTTCTCTTTTGTTTTATATACTTTGTACACTGGCTAAGAAGACGTCCAAATCATATATATATCTAAAGTAAACATTATGTATCTGGAGTGCCTTCCACCCAATAGCTGCACATTAAATAGGACAACCCAGTTAGATTTTTTGTGGGCTTCCTGGATCATTTGGCTTCCCTTCCTCTGTCACATGCAGGCTCATTAGAATAAATCACCCACGTCTTGAGAACTACCTTTACAAAGTTGCACCATATTTTCCTGCAAGCCAATCAGAGCAGATTGGGCTTTTTGTTAGGAGGGGGGAAATACAGGTATATTCAGACAGACAGTATGAGAAAAATCAATCGTTTCTTGAACATTGAAGCACTTAACACGTTTCTAGTTGAAATCTCAAACACAAGTATGAACCTGAAAATGAGCATGATATTTCCCCTTTAAATATACATATGATTGATGATGAAGACAACAAATAGTGACAGCAGAGCCGGTCTGTGGTGTAGGAGGTAGAGGCGAATGTTAGGGGAGCCATCCATCTATAGGTCTGCCTCAAAGGAGGGAAGAAAGAAAATCTAAATGTAGAACTTTTGTTATTTTTTGCTTTTACTATTTAAATACTATTATTTCGAAATATTGTTTGAAAAAAAAAAGCCCACAACATAACTTTGTAGACTATTAAAAAGTCCTGTTTTCTGTGTTTTGCAGTGCATCACCCTAAAAGCTAATAAATAGCAAGAGTGAACCTCCGATAATCCCACCTTAAATTCATAAGGGAAAGTTGGAAAGACTATTCCGTTGGTTGAGGAATAACCTAAATCAAAATTTTAAAAACTACAGCTTTTCTTTTAATACTGATCTGCATAGCTTAATCTCAAAGACATAAAGCTAAACAGGTCCTGTGTGAGTGAACACATGCTTGGTGGTGGAGTTGGCTGCGGTGAATGGGGCACAGCTATAATCTGGCCTAGGGCACCACATTGGTCAGAGACGGCTCCGAGTGTCAGTATGTTTGATTTGAATTACGGCAGTTAGGGAGGGAGCTCATGTAGGACACAGCACCCTGAGCTGATCCACGAGCATTTTACTGCCTCTGTGTATTTTCTGTACTTATGTCTTCTTTGTATAATAGTTATCTTTGAATTGAAGTGATAAAAGTAATCCGGGCAAGTCATGACAAGAAAACGTACCTCGGATCACACGGTACTCACCGTTACTTGATGCAAGGCCACCTGGTAAAATCCGTTTGACGTAGACTCCAAACTCCTCTCCAGTTAGCTCCTTCACTCCACCAATCACTTTAATCCCTGTTGAGAGGAGAAGAAAATTCACTTTGTCATTTTTAAACTTGATTTGGCTGCAAAATATAAACTCAAACGTAGATGTTTAAGACTTCCTGTTTTTAAAGACTCTAACAACAACATGTAAATGGTGCTTTTATCAGTGAACTACTTGTGACAGTCACACAGTGACAGACAGTGGGATCGTGTGCACCACACGCAGTGATAACGTCCTTTTCTGGCAGTCCGGCTTCACTAAGGCGAGGATATACTACGCTTAAGTCACCACTACATTACTAAATATCACTATGAAATGCTGATGAACTCCAGATGGAACAAATGCTAATTACAGTACATAAATTAATAATAATAACTTGGTACAGATGGGAATTTGAATATTGGGAACTCAGGGGAGTGAGGGGAAGGTCATCTGTCGGCAGCTGCCATTGTATTATCATATTCCTTCAGAAGAGGAATGGGAGGTTCATAGAAGTAAACTTAAGCCTACCTAACCTAACTTTCTGTGAGTCATTGGTCAGCCAAGTTATCAGGCTCTCTTCTTAAACCTAACCAAGTGGTTTTGTTGCCTAAACCTGACTTTCTGTGAAGACGAGTTGATTTTGAAAAGAGGCTGTGCATGTGAAGAGCGTATATTGACCCGCCGTCACTGAGACGTCCAACCTGATGCTAGAGTGGTACGAGGAGCATCATAGTCTGAAACTTACATGCCACTGACCAAGCTGCTTCATTTGATGCATTGATGTATGTACGTGTTGTCTGAACAGACACATTACAAACTAAGTAGAGTGCAGATCTCCTCCAGGCGAGTCTGCAAGGACCACTGCTGTAATGTTTGGTTGAATGAATACAAGCAGAGCTGTGGAGCCTCGTCAAGCAAACTTCATTCAAACTAAGAAACAAACGTTATACAAGCATCGGGCTCAAAGTGGTCGTACACGACACTTCATACACAAAGGTAAACTCACCACGCTGATGTGCAGCAGTGTGTGTACAAGTAGTTCTGTTAGCGGTTAGCCAAACACAAGAACCAAAACAGTGTGCAAAGTGTTTCTCTGGTCTCAGCTGTGTAACACTAGCTGATACACAGCTGAGACCACTCGGAGGCCTGTTAGGAGTCACTAGCTGAGTAGTGAGGGACGAGTCAGCAGGCAGTCAGTGGCAGAATAAAACAGAAAGTCACTAACTATGAGAGCTCCTTGAGCATGCAGCTCTAAAGGGATATCGAATATATTCTGCAGTTTGCTGCAGCAGAATGAGAGACTAGAGGTGGACAAACACAGAGGCTCACACACGCAGCCTCTCTCCAGGCTGACAACTGGCGGAGATAACTTATCACCCAATACGTTAAATCCTAGAACTGTGGAGTCCATTCTTTTTCTACACACTAGGCTAAAGAAGACAGTATAGACCTGTAAACATAAGGCTATCACTTTGTTAAGATTCACTGTTTATCTAGCCACTACTAAGGGAGGGGGAGAAAAGGAGCACTCAGACAGCTTCTCTGCTCCCAGCAGCATGATCAGCGTCTTGGCCTCCCTACTTCCAGCGCCCATGGCAACCATATCACTCATCTTTTTTGTGCCATTCCCACCAATCCCCCAGTCCCCATTATCCAAAAATGAATATTGATTTAGACAAATAACGACAATATTATAGTGTCATTCAACTTCACCCGACTTCTGCTTTGTGTAATGTCATCAAAACGTTCTGCTTAGTTATTCCACTATATCTTCACAGAGATAGTAGTTGTTTTTGAATATTGTATAGAACCTTTAACAAACAACAAAACGTGATGACAAAAATTATTTGAACTGGATGAAGCTATGTGAATGGGCAAAGTGATTGCTCATTTGCACCTGTAGTAAGTATGTGTGAAGGTGTTGCTGAGTAAAGGAAAGAATATAAACAGCTACATGGGAAATAAAATCAAAGCATCGTATAACCTACAAGTGTACAATACATCCATCTAATGTTACTATAGTGCTATTAAGAGTGAAATCTGACACTGAACTGCTGACTCTACAGAATGTGTGGACTTCTGTTAACCCTTTGTGTCAAGAGTAAACGACGCATATACCTGAATCTGAATATGTGAATGTGTGGAGAGCCATACTGTGGATCGCCACGAGATGAAAACGCCAATTCTGTTTGCAACATATTTCACTAAATAGTTGTTTAATTTACTACACATTTTTTAAAAGTGATCACTATATTCTGTAGTCGTTCCCAACCCCCCACTGAGTCAGCGTGTAGCAGGCAGGGGGCTGACAGCGGACCACCTGGTTATCAATCAGGGAAACTCTTGCTGCGAGGAAGAGACTTGATTTCAACCATTTAAAAAACCCAATCGAGATTTCACTAACAAGGACCACGGCAATAACAGTATGAGTTTCGAGAGGTTTATTGCATAGTGGAAAGATTGTTAGATTCAAGAAGCGGAAGGGATCAAGGGATGAAAAGATATAGGGTAGGGGTAGAGGGATGAAGGGGAGTAGGGTAGAGGGATGATGGGATGTGGGGGTAGGGAGGAAGGGATGTGGGGTAGGGGTCAAGGTAGAGGGATGAAGGGATGGAGGGGGTGTAGGGTAGGGGGATGAAGGGATGTAGGGTAGAGGGATGGAGGGATGTAGGGGTCAACGTAAAGGGATGAAGGGTAGGGGTCGACGTAGAGGGATGAGGGGTAGGGGTCGAGGTAGAGGGGTCGAGGGATGAAGGGATGTCAGGAAGAAGAAATGAGGAGGGTTTGTAGAAAGGAGGTTAGGCGATCGATGGGGGACCGTTGATGTCCGGCAACTGGCGGGAACGGGGGACTGGAGACTATAGGGTGGGGGCCATCTCGCAGAGTCCCCAAAAGATAGCTCCATAAAGACTGATGCCGATGGCCGTTTCTGGAGTCGTTCGGGTTGGTACGAACTTACCTGAGGTACGCGGGAAAAGACCGACAATCGCGTATCTTGAGGGTGTGGTTGGAAATTCCTTGGCTTGAAGAGGCGGAGGCGGCGCCGAGTAAACTCGGGGGTATTCTGGATCGGGCCAAGATATGGCGGAAGTGGTGGTGAGCCCGAGACCGCAATATTAGGGGAATTCGGCTGGCTGAAATCTGGGCTTAAGTAGTCGCGGATGGGTTCGTACGGACTCGAGTAACAACAGCAGATTGGAAGCAGCAGCCTAATTTACACTAAAACACCTTCTCCTGAATGCCGTATATCTGACTCCCGCATGCAGTTTGACAGATATTTAATAGTGGCTCATCTTGAAAAGGATCGATTCATAGCCTTGGTACCGGTCTCATTACCCTAATAGGGTACTTATTGGCCGTATTAAAATCAGATTAAAGATTCACGATCAGAGTATACGACCTGGCCCTCTGGAGGGACTGATGTAGATGGATGGGCTTCTTCCGGGAACCCGGAAGTGCTCTGGAGGCTCGGAGCGCAAGAGAGGTATTGTGCTACGGGTGCTTGAAAAGTTGCGCTTGTAACGGACTGATGTAAAGGACTGTTGCGTTGGATGGTTGCTTCCTTCGTTTGAGAGAACTGTCCACTCGGAGAAGTGGGATATATAGAGACTGTCGGGGCCTCAGAATGGTGAATGAGGGTCACGGTGGTTTCACCGGTCGTTCGAGCGCCTCCGGCTGTCGGGAGAGCGGCGTGGGTGAGGAATTGAGAGGATTAGGGTCGAAAGATGGGATTCCGAATCGGGATCTCCCCCGGCTGTTGGACGGCAGGGGCGGACAGCTTCGGAGTTGACGGAGGATGGTTATCGAGAGCTGCGGGGAATGAGGATGGCTAAATGCAGCCGAAGTTTCTAGCGACGAGCGTGGTGAGAAAAGGAGGGAGCTTCGGGATATGGCTGGTCGTCCGGAGGGGTTGGGGAGAGCCTTTGTGAAAGGTAAGCGGTTTAAGATGTTGTTGTCTGTCGTGCCTTGAGATGAAGCATATGAAAGCTCAGTCAGGGAGCGTCGCTCGTCTGTCTTGCGTCGTATGAAAGCTTAAAGCTGAGTCGGAGAGCGTTTGCTCGTAGGGGAGCGTTTGCTCGTAGGGTTCGAGGTAGGAGCGTGGGGTAGGGATGGAACGTTGCTCGTCTGCTGAGTCAGAGAGCGTAGCTCGTCTGTCTTGGGTCGTATGAAAGCTGAGTCAGAGAGCGTAGCTCGTCTGTCTTGGGTCGTATGAAAGCTGAGTCAGAGAGCGTTGCTCGTCTGTCTTGGGTCGTATGAAAGCTGAGTCAGAGAGCGTTGCTCGTCTGTCTTGGGTCGTATGAAAGCTGAGTCAGAGAGCGTTGCTCATCTGGATGTGGGGTGTAGGTAGAGGGGTGTAGGGATAGAGCATCTGCTGAGTTAGAGCGTCTGTCGTACGTCGTGTGAAGACGAGAGTCGAAGAGGGAGTGAACGAGTTCGTTGTGCTTAAATACTCTGTGCAGAGGAAATGAGCGGTGTTCTGGGCGTGGCCCTGTTCCTGAACTATGTTTATAAAACTACATATTGAAATTGTATTTATTTTTTACCTTGTATTTCAGTCAATATCCATCCATTTATGATGTAACATGCTGTATGTATCATAGGTTTCATGGGAAATTAAACCGTTTCCGATTCAATGTCACCCAAATAAAGGGGCAAAGGTAAAAGTACAGTATGAGCAAATATATTTCATAATTAATTATATGCCAATATTTAATTAATTTGATGCTTTGAAGGCACAAAGATTGCGTGGCCATGTTAGGCCGATTGAATGTGACTTCCAGTAACCACGCCCATGTCCGGTCCTCTGTCTGAATACAGATACAGAGACAGATAATGAGGAGTCTGCACAGCTTTAGCTTACGGTATGTCTACCTTACGGTTGGTGAAGCATTCTGAATGAGAATAAAATATACTCGGTTGCCAGTTTATAATCCACTAATGCAGCTGCAGTCAGTTGGTCAGTTAGTTGAAGAAGCAGCACCACCAACTAAATCACGCTAATGAAGCTCCAGCATCAGTTCAGTCAGGAAGACTATCCTCTTGTATG